TGCCCAAGATGAGCTGACGAAGTGGCAGGGCTGTCTCGGGGCCACCAATCCCGTAATGGAGTTTACAGTCCGCTGTTTGAGACCAGAGTTGGACATGCGCTGTCCAGTGTGCCGGGGATGCCAAGGGAAGGTGCCAGCGGGGAGCACAGCCCCAGTCTTACCTAGTCTGGGGCTTTCCCCTGATTCCAAATTCTGGATTCTCCCTCACCACTGGAAGCCCCAGCCACCAGGGGTGTGGCGCAGGGAGGGGGGGAGCAGGCCCCAGGCTTGCCTCCCCTCTTTCTTTCCTCCTCACTCCCTGCCTCCAAGGTGAGCTGTGGCAACTACAGTGGGGACCACAGGCTCCCTCGTCCAGGGCTCCACCTGGGCGGCGCAGAGCTCTGTGTGGAAGGGGTAACAAGGCAGAAGTGGCCTTCGGGGAGGAAAGGGCCAGGAGCCGCTAGGTGGTGAGGCTGGATTCCCCTTAGGCTTCTCTGCGGGGGACTAGCTGGCCTTGCCTCAGGGACAACTCCAAATCAGATTTAAGCAGCTCTCTGGGGACATTCTGGGTGGTGGTATTTTGGGGAGCGGATGTGAACTTCCCTGAAGGGGAGTGGTGTAGGATCCGGCATCCTGCTCCCGGGCCCTTTCCCGGACCCCACCAACATGCTCCCTTCTCCAAATTTAGGGTGGGGGAGGAAGTAGCAGGGCCCTCAGAAGCCAGAGAACTGAGATCCGGAGGTGGGGGAGGGAGGTGCAGGAGGCTCCATTCCAGCAGCTAACAGGAGCGGGTCCTGCAGAGCTAGAGGGAGACCCAGAAGCCCCCACTCCTGTCCCCAGGCTGAAATCCTGGCTGGAGGGTCCCACTCTTTCCTTGATCAGAGGTCACTGGGCGCCCAGGAGGCGGTCCCCAGGGACTCCCCGTGCAGCCGCGGCTCTCTCCCCAACACCCCCACCCCCGCATTCTCCCTCCCTCTCCTGCTTTCCAGAAGAGGGACCAGTGGACTGAATCCCCGCTGCCGGCCGCGCTGGGAAAGGCCTGGAGACCGATTCCCGGCTTCCGGACAGCCCCAGGGCCCCCGCCCAGCCCCTCCCCGGCCCGCGGCGGCCGCCTGAGCATTTAAGGTAATGTTTGGGTTGGTGCGAGTGGCGCCGGATGCCCCGCCTCCCGCAGCCCCCGCTGGGCGAGACCCCGCGAGCTGGGCTCCCGGGACTCCGGGCGGGATCTCCCGGGGGCTGAGGCCTGGGTGCTGGAGGGCTGCCAACGTGGAGAGGCCCCTGGGGTCAGAGGGTTCAAGAAGGACAGTCCCCATTCGGAGGCCTTAGCACGGTTGGGAACTAGGATGGGAGGGCGGCCCCCCTCCCTCTGGCTTAAGGGTCCCTAGTCCCCAGGAAGAGTCCCTACGCATCCACATCCTTTCTCCTTCTCTCCCCCCAACTCCCGGGCAGAGAAGGGGCTGAGAAGAGAGGCCACTAGCTCCCAGGGGAGTCACTGGAATGCTGGGAGCCTGGGAACAGGCCCTGCAGTCCCTGGGAAAGCCAGGCTGTGGGAATCCCACCCGCAGCCCCCTCCCCAGCATGGACCACCGGATGCCGGAGACCCCAGCTCCCCCACAGGGGGCTTTGTGACAGTCGAACCCCCCCTGGCTGGACCCCAGAGTTCAGGAGGCCAGCTGTGACGGGGAGTCCCCTCCCCCGCCCTCGGAGGGCCGGCCTACTCCAACATAATTCTGGCCATTGTGCCACTCACCCCTTCCCCACCCCCCTTCTCTGGACCCCTGTACAATGGGGCCTTTGCCGCCTCCAGCACTCAGGGTGGAGATGAACTCACTCAAGTTTTTTCCAAGTTTAAAAATAGCCCCGCCCATCCTCCACCCCCAAGTCACCCTCCTCCTCTTCCCGGGGTTTCTGGGGTGCACCTCAGTCCAGGCTGCACCTCCTTCCTCCTGCCCTGGGTCAGGTGCAAAGGGCATGTGTGAGACAGCATCCGGCCAGGATAGGGGCTGCTTCCCCCCATTCAATCTCTTCCCCCACATCTTCCAACCCAGCCCCCCAGTGTCCGGTTTCCTGGCCTGATGATGTTCTCGGCAACAATTGCCCCCCACCCACCTCCCACCCTGTTTTCCACTCCCTCAGCACAGCCTCCTCCCAAGTTAGACCCCCCATTCTGGAAAACTTCTCTCCCCTCCCCTCCAAAGACCCAAACTGGTCTCTATTTTCTGGCCAGGCCAGGGGGTTCCCCAGCCTCCATAATTGCCAAGTTTGCTGGGACACCCCCCTCCACCCCCTGTTCCTTCCTCATTGCAGCTGCAATGTCTTTATGAGCTTCCTTCCTCCGCCCAGCCCGCCTTTCTCATATCTTCCTCCTGGTCAAGCCCCTGGGCCAGAGGGTTGGGTGGGAGGCCGCTGTGCCCGCCAGGCGGAAGCTGAGAGAGGACTCGAGGGGGGACTCCTAGGTTAGAACCCCGCCCCAGTGACCCCTGGGGGCAGGTCCATCCTTGTGTTTCTACCTCGCACTCCGCTGTGGCTGGGGCCCTGCTCTTCCCACTTTTCCTTACACCCAGATGAAAGCCCCACCACCTGGAAGACCAGACCATGGCCACCACCCCACCCAGCCTCAGTTTCTCTGCCTGTGGTCAGACCTATGCCAGAGAGACTACACAGAGGACATTCCACACAGCGGTCCCCTCCTCTCTGTGTACCCTGGGTCTACCATGGGGGTGGAGGAAAGCAGCCTTCCTATACCTACCTTCCGGAGAGAAACAGACAAAGAATTAGAACTCTGGTCCTGGGCCTCTTCTTGTCTTGGCCTACAGCCGGGCAGCACTGCTTCCAACCCAGCCCAGGTGCCAGTCTCTGCTGGTGCAAGACCCATCGCTGCCCCCTTGATCCCCCCTTCAGCTGGGTGGCAGTCCTCTTGCTGAAAGTTCTTCCTCTGCTTCCTTTCTCTTCCCCGCTACTGCTGCAGCTCTACCTTCTAGCATCTTCAAGGAGCCAGAGGGCTGATACTCTCCACCACCTTGCGTTCCCTCTACCCAGTTCTCCTGCCTTCACTGCCCTTTCTTTCTGTTTCCAGACCTCTCTGGATCCTCTCCAAAGTCCTGATCTCTCTTTGGTTTGGAGTCCCAAAGTTGCCTGACCCCTGACCTCTCCCTGCCACTCCCTGGCAGGCCCAATCTTGCCCCAAGCTGCTGGTTTCCTTAAAGGACAGTCCTTGTGCTTGTTTGGTGGGGTCGGGCAGGGAAAGGATGTCACCCTGGGCTCCAGCTTCATTTCCCCTTCACCGCAGAGACAGTTCCTCCACCCCCACCTGGCTTCCCTTGGCAGAAGACAAATTCTGAACTGACTGTCCTTGGTGGTTAGCTGGCTTTGTTTTCAGGCGGGGAGGAGAATGATTAGTTAATGGTGTTAAGTTAAGGGAAGGGAGTGGGGGCAGGGAAGCCAAGCTCCATGCCCAGCTCTGGCTTGCCAGGGCAAACAGCATCCTTCAGCCATTCCCACTCCTGCCCCTGTAGACAAACTTATCCATTCCACTCTGGGCCCTGAGCCAGTCCAAACGTTCACTCTGGGGGATGTGGAGCCACGGTCCTCTCCCCTGCAACCCAGGCTCTGGGCTCCAGGCCCCTACCCTGGCCGGCTTGGCATTGCCTCTGGCTGAAGACTGATGGAGAGAGAGGAGGGGTCAGCAAGGTTCCAAAAAAACGAGGCTGATGTGGTTTGCCAGTCATCTCTGCGTCATCAAAATACCACCCCGGAGCCTTCTCTCAAGTCACCTGCCCATCTGCAGCGTTTGCTGCCTCACGCGGCTCCTCCCCCGCCCTGCAGAAAGGCTGCCCTGCCAGGGACAGGCCTCCACCCCCAACCCAGACCTCTATTTGACCCTCCCGCTGAAGGAGCCGCAGCAGATGTGATGCTGGGGTCTCTAAGAGGCAAGAGCCCTTCCCACTCCCCAGAGCCTTCCTTCAAGAGGCCAGAAGACCCAGGTTTGGGAAGAGGGGGAGCTTGCTGTGTGGAGGGCTGCCTGCAACCAGATCTGATGCCCCCTCCATGCTTCCCCTCCCCCCAGGTGCTGAGCCACAGTCAACGGGGGGGGAGGTGGGGGGAGGGCGGGGGTGTGCGGGAGCCCTGCTTCAGGGGGTTCTTTTCAACCATCAGGACAGCAACAGGTTTTCAGGGGCCAACCTGGAGACCTCGCACCCTCGCACTTCCTTTCCCCTCTTTTCTTCATTCAGGTGAGGGGAAACTGAGTCCCAGCTAGGCTCATGGAATGAAGAGGGCACAAACAGAATTTTCAAGGTCTGGACGTGGACAAGTGTGAAAACCTTGGGCCTGTGAATTCAGCCCCCTCCCTTTCCCGCTAGTCGGGCCTTGCGGGAGATTGGGTTTGAAGGGGCAGCCCGTAAGGCGCCATCTCCACTCCCCAGGACCGGTACCTCTGGGTCTGTGGCACCGGGCCCAGGGTTCTTCCCTCAGAGCTGCCGGCTCTGCGAGGCGGGGGGTGTGCGAGGCTCGGGGCCAGCGCCGGGCCGGCCGCAGCCGCAGTGGTGCAATCGTTCTGGGAAGCTACCGTGGCCGGCCAGGGTCTCTGTGGCAGGGGTCGGGCGGGGCGGAGGAGGCGGAGGCGGGAAGAGGGGCCTGCACGGGAGGCCCCGGTCTGAGGCTCCTCCGCCCCGCGGTCCGCCAGGGCCACACCGGCTGCTAGGGGCTGCGCGGGGGCGAGCGCGGCTGGTTCTGACCCGGCGGGACTCTGGGCATCCAGGCCGGCCTCTCTCTCTCTCCTCGCCGCCGCCTCGGCCAGCCAGCCCGGCCTCCAGACACCTGTCACGGCCCCCTCGGCCGACCCAAGCCGGGCCGGGGGCTGGGCAGCGGGCCCGGCCTCGCTGGGGCCGAGAGGCCAGGCGCGGCTCCGGGCCCGCCCCCACGGAGCGGCGCGGGGGCGGGGGGCTGCGCGGGGCGGGGCGGGCCGGGCCCCCTCCCCCGCCCCCCTGACGTCAGCCCCCGGCGGCCGGCGGCTCGCTCACTAGGCGCTCGCCCTCCGGCCGGGAAGCATGGGGCCGTCCGGGCTCATCTACGCCCTCCTGCTCGCCTCCTGCTGCTGCTGTCGCCGCGCCGCGGGTGAGTGGCTTCGCGGGGCGGGGGTGGGGGGGCCACGGCCCGGGCCGGGGGTCGGGGGGGGCTTCGGCGGAGCGTGCCGGGCAGCGGAGCGGGCAGCGCGGTGCGGGCCGGGGCTTTGCGCTCCGGCGTGCGCTCCTCCTCGCCGGCGCCCCGGCGTCTTGCGCGCGTGCAACTCTTCGGTGCAGCGAGTTTGCAGCCTGGATTCTGGAGTATCCCGGGAGGAGGACCGGGGAGGCGGGGAGGAGGCTGCTGCCCGGAGCGGGAAGGGGTGGAGCCGAGCCTCTCTGGGAGCGGGGGAGAGCTCTGCCTCAGGTGCCCACTCTGGGGGCCCGCGGTTGGAGCGGCGGTGGCAGGCGCAGCGAGAGCGCATCCCCAAATCCCGAATTCTGCGCCCGCCTGTTGCCGGAAAAAGGCAGCTTGCTTAGCGGGAGGGGGTGCGCGGACGCCTCCTCTCCCGCCTGGGCTTCCAGCCAGGCTGGAGGTGAGCGGGGGAAGGGGGGTCGGGGGGGTCGGACGGCGGCTCCCGCGCGAGCAGGGCGTTGGCAGGGGTTGGGGGGCGGCATGGGTCGCCTCGCGCCTGCCCGGGTGACGGGATCACAGGTGGCAGAAACGAGGGATTGAGGGTGTCCAGAGTGGAAGCGCCCCAGATCCGTTACGCCTCCCGGAATGGGACCACATTCAGGTGGGAAGAGCGCCCCTGCACCTCGGAGTTTTTCTCTGGAACTGCCCGGCAGCCCGCTGCTCCCGGGTGCACGCTGCCCTTGTATGGCCTGCAGCGGTGTCGCGTGTTTCTCTTGGCTCCTTTTCCCGGGTCCCAGCCGCTGTCCGGCTGGGGAAGGGGAGGGCCAGGCAGTACCCAGTTCACTGGCCTCATGCCCAGTGCCTGCAGTGTCCCTGGGGTACCCCCGGCTGCTGGCTCCCAAGCTGTGTTTCTGGGGAAAGGGCGAAATTGGGCTCCACAGCGCAGCAGATCTAGCCCCACCCTGCCCTGCTCCTTTAGCTCTGGGGAAACGGAGTCAGGGATCCGAGGCCTCTGCTCTGGGTTGAAGACCACTCCATCTGCCCTCCTTGCCTGGGAGGCAGCCCAGGGCAACAGCCCAGGCGTCCCCGAGGCCTGCCAGATGGTATTGAGTGACATCACCTCCTTACAGGGTAGGGAGCACCCTGGCACCACTGACGTCACTCTTGCCCACTGCCTGGCCCTTGCCCTGACCCCTGGGGGAGATTCTGACCCCTCCATGCTCACAACACTCCCAGGATGGGGTCCTCTGAGTTTGTGGGATGTTCAGAGGTACTGCGTAGGGAGCATGTGATGGGAGCTTCTGGCCATGGTTGGCCCACTAGGTCTTGCGGGAAATTTGGGGAGGGCTCTGGGGGGCAGAGTAGCGGTGTCTTCCCCTGGGCGGGCATGGGGACACAAAGGGGCCTGTGTGGCTCAGCCTGGCACGCGCCTTGCATTCCCATACTCTGAGCTCACTGGAAGGGGTGGGGGCCTGGAAGGAAAGGGGCCTTCCTCTTGGCCAAGAGCCTGGGTTGCCCCTCTGCCAGCCTCATCTGGAAGATGCTCGTGCTCAGGGTCTCTGCTGCAATGACCAGAGACGGTCACCCTCAGCTTCCCCAAACAGGGCAGGGGGGAGGGGGACGGGAGGGCGGGGGAGAGCAGGCTGCCTGGGGGCAGCAGGTAGAGGGGGGTTAAGGGTTAGGAGGACCGAGTCCCCTCCGGACCCTGCAAGTGGCAGGGGGAACAGCTGCAGGGCAGGGGCGTGAGGGGAGGGCATGGAGAGCAGCTGGAGCCGACAGCTGCTGGGACGGGCGTCCTCCACCCCAGGTGTGCCCGGAGAGGCGGAGCCCCCCGAGCCGGAGCTGGTGGAGGCGGAAGTGGGCGGTACGGCGCTTCTCAAGTGCGGCCCCTCCCATTCCCCGGGCAACTTCAGCCAAGTGGACTGGTTTTCTGTGAGTGTGCGGGCCCTGGAGAGGGCGGCAGGGGGGCGGGCGGCTCTCCCCCTCCTGCGCCCCGGGACCCTCACGTCCTCTTCAACACGGGCCCTTAGGTGCACAAGGAGAAGCCGACGCTCATCTTTCGAGTGCGCAAGGGCCAGGGCCAGAGTGAACCCGGGGAGTACCAGCAGCGGCTCAGCCTCCAGGACAGAGGGACGACGCTGGTCCTGAGCCACATCACGCCCCACGATGAGCGCATCTTCCTGTGCCAGGCCAAGCGCCCTCAGTCCCACGAGCACCGCATCCAACTCCGTGTCTACAGTGAGTGCCCCACCCGAGGGTTGTGGGCCGTGCGGGTGGTCGTTGGTGCTGGAGGTCCCAGGCTCCTCATTTCCTTCCCTTGTAGAAGCTCCGGAGGAGCCGACCATCCAGGTCAATGCCTTGGGCATCTCGGTCAGCAGTAAGGAGCCTGAGGAGGTGAGACTGGCCAGGTGGGAAGGAGGAGCCCGGGTGGGGCCGGGTGGGGCCTCCGTGGCAGGGAGACTCACACCCTGTCCTCCTCAGGTGGCCACCTGTGTGGGGAGAAATGGGTACCCCGTTCCTCAAGTCATCTGGTATAAGAATGGCCACTCCCTGAAGGAGGAGAAGAACCGTGAGTTGCCCCTCTGAGCTCTAAGAAGCCAGGCTGATGGCACCACACAGGGACCACCCTGCGTTTCCTTGTGCTTTGTTTGCTTCAAGTACACAAGTGATGCGTGAAAATCTCTTCCTGAGAATTTAAACTGTGCAGAAGGAAAGTTCCCTTTCCGCCCCAGATCCCCTCCCAGAAGTAACCTCTGCTGTCAGTTAGTGTTCGTTCTTTCCAGCCAGTTTCTGGGTACTCACAGAAATACACCGAGGCACATGGAGGCTTTTATTTTTTTTTTTTTTATCATCTAAAGCGGTGGTTCTCAACCAGGGCTGACGCTGCTCCCCCTCGGGGACGTCCAGTCATGTCCGGGGAGCTGATGCTAAACACCCCATAGTGCACAGGACAGCCCCCCCTCCCCGCAGCTAAGGTCTCGCTGAGGTTGAGAAACCCCGACCTCAGTGGCTCGGTGTGGCATCTGTCGTCACGCCGGTATTGGTTTTCTTCAGTCGGTGGGTCCTGGAAATCTTCCCAGCGCAGCCTGTGGAGCTGTACCTGATTGTTCTGCGCCGCCCCCGCCCCCCGGATTGCCTACGGTGGGGACGGTGGAGGGGGACTGACCGTGCAGTCCCTGGTTGGTGGATGTCTGGAGTGTTCCCTGACCGCCTTCCCCCGTCACTGCGGCATCCCGTTCTCGTGTGTGCGCGCGAGAGTCAGCGGCACGGCTAGATGCTGAGACACAAAACCGCTGAGCTGAAGGGTCGCGGGGGCAGGGGTCCCTCTCCAGGTGCCCCCTGGGGACTCTGGGCTGGGGGTGGAGGCGGGGCTGGCGGCCAAGCCCTTCTCCCCTCCCCCGCCCCGACTTCTCCCCGGCCCAGGGGTCCACATTCAGTCATCCCAGATCGTGGAGTCAAGTGGTCTGTACACCTTGGAGAGCGTTCTGAAGGCCCAGCTGGTGAAGGAAGACAAAGATGCCCGGTTTTACTGCGAGCTCAACTACCGGCTGCCCAGCGGCAACCACATGAAGGAGTCTCGGGAAGTCAACGTCCAGGTTTTCTGTGAGTCCCAGTGCGGCCCGGGCTGAGGCTGGTGGCAACTCCGGCTAGCGCCGCTCCCCAGCGTGGGGACAGCTCTGGGGCTGAGGGCCGGGGCCTGTGCCTCTGCAGACCCGGCGGAGAAGGTGTGGCTGGAGGTGGAGCCCGTGGGGGCGCTGAAGGAAGGCGACCGCGTGGAAATCAGGTGTTTGGCGGACGGCAACCCCCCGCCCCACTTCACCATCAGCAGACAGGTGCGGAGGGCACCACACTAGGGGCCCGTGGGCCGCGGGACTGGCTGGAGGCCCCTCCGCTCACCCCTCCGCTCTCTCCCAGAACCTCGGCACCAAGGAGATGGAGGAGATGACACCCGAAGACAACGGGGCCCTGGTCTTGGAGTCTGCCCAGAAGGAGCATAGTGGGCTCTATCAGTGTCAGGGTCTGGACTTGGAAACCATGGCTTCGCTGCTGAGCGACCCACAGGAGCTGCTGGTGAACTGTGAGGGGCCCAGGACAAGGGGGACCGGGGTGAGGGGGGCAAGAGGGAATTCACCCCACCCGGGCTGACACCACTGCTGTGTCCCCAGACGTGTCTGATGTGCGGGTGAGCCCTGCAGCCCCGGAGAGCCAGGAGGGCGGCAGCCTCACCCTCAGCTGTGAGGCAGAGAGTAACCAAGCCGTGGAGTTCCAGTGGCTGAGAGAGAAGGTACCCAGGCAGGCCTGGGGTTGCGGGCTGCGTGGGGCTGGGAGTGAGCCCCTGACCCCGTCTCTCACCCCAGACAGGCCAGGTGCTGGAGAAGGGGCCTGTGCTCCAGTTCCACGACCTGAAGCGCGAGGCAGGGGGAGGCTACCGCTGCATGGCATCCGTGCCCAGCGTCCCGGGCCTGAACCGCACGCAGCTGGTCCACGTGGCCATTCTTGGTGAGAGGCCCTCTGGGCAGAGATCAGGCGGCCCCTTGAAGCTCCCCTGGGCTGGGTGGTTTCGAGCCCTTGGAGGACAAAAAGCCCCCCTGCTGCCTGGGATGCACTGGTGGGGACGGGGAGGCAGGCTAGCAGAGTGTGCTGCCACACCTGTACCCCTCCCTCCCTAAGGGTCCCCATGGATGACATCGAAGGAGAGGAAGATGTGGGTGCGAGAGAATGAGGTGCTGAATCTGTCTTGCGAAGCCTCGGGACATCCCCGGCCCAGCATCTCCTGGAGCGTCGCGGGCACGGTGAGCAGGCCTGCCGCCTCTGCCCCACGCTCAGGAATCCCTGCCCGGGGCTCTGCTGCCAGCTCCGGGCAACCCTCCCCGTGCCCCCCGCCCTGAGTGGCTCCTCCGTCCTTGTAGGCCCAGGAACAAGACCAAGATCCGCAGGGCGTCCTGAGTGTCCTGAGTGTCCTCGTGACCCCAGAGCTGTTGAGGACGGGGGCTCAGTGCGTGGCATCCAACTCCCTGGGCAGAAACACCACCACCATTTTCCTGGAGCTGGGTAAGGGCTTCATCCTGCGGCGTGGCGGGCGTGGCGGGCGTGGGCACCAGTGTGTGCTTTGCCTGACGCACCTGTCGACGCCCTGCACCACTCACCAGCCTCCAGCAGAAGCACTGGCCTGGGCACCTCCACTGCCAGCCCCTCCGTCCGAGCCAACGGCACCTCCACAGGTAGGCATGCGCTCTGGGCTCCAGAACAGGGCGGGCAGCCTCCTGCCCTGACCCTTCCCCGGGGAGCCCTGTTGAGAAAGGTGAGCAGGGGCCCATCTTCCGTCCGCCCTGGGCTGTGGGGGGTGGGGGTGGGGCATGGTGGGAACAGGGCCGCCTGGGGCCGGGAGTGACCCGGAGTGTCTTTGTGGGACAGAGAAGAAGCTGCCGGAGCCTGAAAGCAAGGGCGTGGCCATCGTGGCCGTGACTGTGTGCGTCCTGGTCCTAGCCGTGCTGGGTGCCAGCCTCTATTTCTTCTACAAGAAGGGCAAGCTGCCGTGCGGGCGGTCGGGCAAGCAGGAGATGTAAGCACGGTACCCAGCGCCCTGCGCCCCCACCCGTCGCGTGCTCCCCAGCTTGTCGCCTGGGCAGGGATGTTCCCTGCCCACCGCCCCCACCCCCACCCCCGCCCACTCACCCCTTCAGAGCAGGAGGGGGCCGCTGGGGGTGAGTGCTCCCCGCTTTCCTGCCCACTGGCTAGCTGCCATCACCCACACGTCTCCATTCATCGCCTGTCCCCCTTCCCTGAGCTGGCCCCGGAGCGCCTAAGAGCCCATCGTCGCCCAGTCCGACATCTTTGCCAGTGAGCCTCCCCTTGCTCGCCCGAGATGCCAACTTCTTGCCTCCCTCCCTCCTCCCAGCACGCTGCCCCCGTCTCGTAAGAGCGAATTTGTAGTTGAAGTTAAGTCAGATAAGCTCCCAGAAGAGATGGGCCTCCTACAGGGCAGCAGCGGTGACCAGAGGGCGCCCGGAGACCAGGTAGGAGGCAGCTCCTGTGGCCAGCGCCTGATGCAGCTTCAGGGATCGCGAGCAGCAGGGGCTGATGGCTCTCGTGTCCCCGAACACTAACTCTGTCTCCCCACTTCCTCCTCCTCTGTTGGGAGACTGGGAGCAGGCCCGTCTTGGCTTCCTAACAAACACTAGTCCCAGATGGTAGGGCGAGGCGAGTGGCCAAGGGACCCTGGAGAAGGGGTAGCTCCCAGGACTGAGAGCAAACACTGCCCGTCACCACCACCTTTTCCCCAACAGGGCCGTGGCTCAGGTCACCAGGTGTGGTGTGGCCAGTCTGGTTTGGGGGCCTAGGCTCGCCCACCCTGCCCCACCACCCCCTCCCGCTGCTTCCCTCCACGCCTAGTCCATCAGCTTTGGCTTCAGTCCCTCGTCCCTTCGGCGCTCACACCCCAGACTGCCGTTCCTGTCCCCGCCGCGCCCCCCCCTTACCTCTCCTGTCCACCCGTTTCTAGGGAGAGAAATACATCGATCTGAGGCACTAGCCCGCCCAGGACCCTGAGCGCCCTTCCCGCCCAGAGTGTTTTCTGCTCCCCGCTCACCCCCTCCCTCCCAACGCTCAGGACGATCGCCAAAGCCTTCGAAGCGGGCTGTGGAGAAGGCCCCTGCCCCAGTTGGCCTGCAGGCCCCATTTCAGAGGGCTGAGTCAGCCCGAGAGGGTCCTCTTCGGGGACCGGCCCGCCACTGTCTCACTGTTGGGTGATGCTCACCGCAGGGAGGGGCCTCAGCATCCTGGGAGCGGGAAGGAGTTTCTCACAGACCATGTTGTGGGTGTACATACCTGTCTTCTGCCGGCAGCCGAAGGAGGCAGCCTATTTATCTTGTGCTGGTTTCGTGCCCCAAAGGCTGGCTTCGTCCTTCAGTTGTGTCACTGAAGTGAGGGCTCACTGAGCCCAGGCCCCTCTCACACCGGTTCTGGAGAGTACCACAGCCTTCGTGACAAGTGGCTGCCCGCCTGCTTCAGGAGCCCCTTTTGTGACCCACCTTTCTCTGGGCAGAAGCCAGGACTGGTGTCATTCCTTCAAAGAGGTGTTGGGTGTATCTCGTTGTCCCTGCAGGGAGGAAGCTAGGCAGTTCTCCAGAGTTAGGCCATTGAGCCCAACACCCCCCCCCCCAATTTGGCTCCCACTGCCCAGTCAAGGGGTCATGTCAGACTAAAAGGTGGGGTTAGGGGACAGAGATGAGCTCCAGACTGTCTTTTAGGAGGATTAAGACTATAATTACACTAACAAACACCAAACTTCGACGAACTGAGCTAACGGGATTAGACCCTGGCAGGAGGGCCCTCATGGGAGAATGGTACTTAGGGATGAGAAGCGGGCCTGGCTAGAGCTTTGGGGTGTGTATGTGTATCTGCGTGTGCGTGTATGTATATGTGGTTTTATTAGGTCGGGTGTAAATTTGCAAATTTCCTTTATATATATATATATATATATATATGAAAAATAAAGCTTAATTGTCCCAGAAATGTCACACTGCTTTTTATTCATCATGGTACCACAGCAGCCTGAGGCCTCCAAACCTGGCACTGCACCAAAAGGAATATGAAACCCTTTGCATTTGGGAGCGGGGACCAGGGTTACCTCTGCTTCTGAGCAAATGGCTCAAGTTCTACCACAGAGAATAATGACCCTTCTCTCGGCTTTCCTGCTGCGCAGACCTGCCTTGGGGTAGCAGCAGACTCACGGTGATGACTGGGCGGGCCGAGTCTGTCTGTCGCTCTCCCACCCCCACGGAAGAGCAAGCACTCCAGTCTGCTACAACAAAAGAAACTTTATTTAAAAATATTTTTTTTTTTTTTACAGACATGGGTGCTTGAAAAAGCTCTTTAGTTAACTATGGAAATGAAAAAAAATTAATAAATAACATTAGTATAACAGACCTCTAAACATTAATACACTGGCAAAACAAAAGGGACTTGAAAATGAATCTTAAAGCTCTGCTCTTCTCTGTAAGAATATTTACCTTCTGTTTTTCTTATTCTTTACAGGTGAGAATGATTAAATACTGCTAATATAAATTTTTTTATATTAATGACACATTTTTAAAATAGTCCACAAAAATCTCATCTAAGTTTTCGTTTTGTTTTATTTTTAACACTGATATACAAATTGGGACTCTCTATTCTGGAGAAAGCATCAAGTTCTCCTCAGCCCCACCCAGGCCAAGAATGTCAAAATCCTAAAGAGGGAGGACTTGAAAAAGAAGGGTTTCTCTCCCAATTCCTTATTAGTTAAAAGGCAGGGAAGAACTGAAAAGGTCAGAAAGGGAGAAGTAAAATATCGCGTAGAAAGCATTTTGTCTTTTTTCTTTGCCGAGACCTACAGCGGCCACAAGCCTGAGGCCAGGCTCGGGCGCGCAGGCCTTGCTGCCTGTCCCAGGGGAGAGCGACCCCGCCAAGGGCACTGGCTGCCTAATGCTCTAAGACTCAAGTCTTCAAGTAAGAGGAAAGCTGAGTCTGAAGGGAGAGGCAGGAGGTAGGCCAGTTCAGGATCCAGCACAAAGAAACAACCCCCCGTTGTCAGTAGAGCCCATCCTCCACTCTTGCATGCAGCTGGTGCCTTACCAGGCAGGACCAGGAGGCTGGCACGTGCCAAGTGGTCCAGGGCACTCCTGGGAATCCCAGAACAGTCCCTCTCCTCTGGCTGGAGACAGATCATTCAACCTGTAACTACGACTCTGAATGGAACCAACCAGATGCTCCCAGGGTAACGCTGGCTTCTTCCGACACGGCACCACGGCAGGGGGAAGGGACTGCTGCCCCGCCGCACCTATGCGCCCTCTCCCCAGCCCCACACAGCGTCCCCTCCTCCCCCCTACACTGTAAGGGCTGACGCTCAAGGTAGAGGAGCTAAGACTCTGGTATTTCCATATTAAGTCCTAAAATGCAGCCTGGGATACAGTGCTGCCTTAGAAAGGCACAAAATGTTTGGCTTTTTTTTTTTTTTTCGGTGTGCTAAAAATTGTTCTGTTTTGAATAAAGGGAAAAGATATATAAGGTTAAAAATTCCAAGTCACCACAGCCAGAAAGCAAATGTAGGAGGTACCTCCTAGCTGCCATGCCTCTACCACGTTTCAGCAGGAGGTCAAGGCCAAGACACTGAGACGGGTGGGTCAGGAGGCATCCAGTCTCACGGGCGCTGGGCCTACAGGCTTACCCAGACAGCAGGGGGAAGCCAAGGAAGAGAAAACACGTGGTCTCCAGACTCCTAAGTAGTTCTCTGCCTCCTCAGTTTCAACACAGCCGTGAGCAGGGCCACCCTCACCCACAACAGGGTCAGAGGTAGGTAGGGAGGAGGGAGCAGACACACATGGACGTAAGGGCACAAAGCGTGGGCAAGCAGTCTGGCCTGCAACCCCCGCCCCCCCCCCCGAAGGAAAATTTGCGAGAGGCAATGCAGAGGTGCCTCCCATGTTCATTGTAGGAAGAAGTCAAGAATACGGAGCCGGGTGATCACAACTCTGCTGATCTGTTTGGCTGCCTAATCAGCAGGAGTGCGGGGGTTGGCTTTCAGCCTTTGCTCTGTACAAAAAGAGGGAGTGGTCTGCCACATTTTTCTCAAGCACTACCCCAGGGAAGGGAAGGGGCAGGGAGATGTCCAGACATCTGTTACTCCGGAGCAATCGGCAGGCGCTTCCGAAGGGCTGATGTTCCCATCTGAAATGTGAATGCGCCTCCACCCGTCCCTATCTCCCCACCTCTTACTCTGGTGCTACTTAGCAGAACCAAAACACACCGGAACTCCCCTCTGGGGAACCAACACAGATTTCCTAGGACACAGAGGCGCGTGGCGTTGCTGTCCCTCTGTTCCTTGATTCTGGAGCGGAGCCCAGGATATACCAAATGCAAAGGCTAACGAGCCCCCTTCATCAGTGTGTATCTTTGGATTACTAGGTTACTTCTGTGTATTCCAAACGACTCCAATAGCTTAAAAAAGTTACAAGTAATTATGAAAAGCCTTACTAACATGGGACAGGCCCTAAGATGAGGTAAGTAAGATCAAAACACTTAGGCAAGCAGAAGCAGTTCCGTAAAAATCCAAAACATAAAGGCTTTGATACGGCACTACAAAGAAAGCAAGTGGGCGGGGAAGACAAGGGTTTCCGGTCTAAAGAGCTCTCAGTCAAACCTCCCCTCTAAACTGGAATCTATATCGAGTTTATATCCTGGCAACTGTCCCAACTATCAGATACTCTTGCTGGCTACAGGGAAGTAGTTCCTGAGGTACCTCGGAAGGCCTGCCTGAGAACACTGCCACAGAGCTCTCCGCACGCAGCAAAGACCAAGTGCAAGGGTGAAGGAGGAGGGCAGGGAGGGCCACAGGCCCACAGAACGAATATATGTTCAGCGCGAAAACCTGAAAAGAGCCCAGAAGTCCATGGGTGGCTACAGTGGGATCTGTGATCTGCTCTCCAAATAATACGAAAGAAGGCTAAAAACCTGAGATTAAATGAAGGCAAAGAAATGTCACCTAAGAACAGACTGGCTCCGGAACAGGAGAAACTGGTCCTGAAGAGGGAGGTAAGAAATCTTGGATGCCAAGACTGGTAAAGGGAATTAAAACAGGAAATAAAGCAACAAAGATGACAGAAACCCGAATTAAGCGAAACCTAAGAATCTCTTCAATGTCCCAGATATAGTCCCATGCCCTGCCTTTCCACTCTCCGGGCGTGGGGGGGGGAAGGCAGTGCACGACAGCAGTTTTGCTACTAAAATACTTCTAGGGTATCTATCCTGTCTGAAGCCTCCTCTCGGAGAGCCCTCCCCCCACTCCCACCTGAGGGGGCCACTGCCATCCCCTGCGCCCAGGCTGACCCCTCGGGGTAGAGGCCCAAGCAACGTGCTGGGCTGATCGTTTTCTTTCTTGAGTAAGAGGCCCTGGGAATCTGTGCATGGTGATCCCGAGAGCCGGGAGGTCGTGTGGACCTGCGGACGGGGGTGTCTCATCTGGGGGGGGGTGCATGACAAGCAGGAGAAAGGACTAGGTGCAAATTTTGACAGCCCCAGCTCCATGCAAGAACCCACTGTACTTCCTATACTGGGGTCTATAAAATACCCTGCATCCTTAGGATTCCCTCCTTTCTTTAGCCTGGATACCTGTTTCTTGCATCTGAAGGATTCCTAAACAGGAGAGTCAACAATACAAAACCGTGACCTCCTTTCAGCATGCACCTTCCTCTGTGCACAAATGGCTTGAGGTGTTTCTAAAGAAAGACTGTGACACAGGCTGAGGTCAAAGTGGTGCCAGGACCACTTTACGCTGACGTAGATTACTTCAGCTTGAATTTCTAAAGCCTGCACGTGTAACAGAACGGTGATGTGTGCATCCTGATGCTAAGTTCTAGGGTCCTGGGCTCCCTACCCTGGGACAGAAAGGCTGGCATTTCTGAGAAGTGACTGAGTTCCATCTATTTTACTGCCTGGCTCTTGGGAGAGCACATACATCTGTTCAAGACCAGGAACCAACATTAGGTATCCACCTGTCTCCCACACCTTCAGCCCTTCTAGGACACAGTATTAGCTGCAAAGGTCGTTGAAGGGCTGGGAAACAAGTCTCAAGGAGAATGGGAGATGGTGACAGGTCCTAGGAGGGTGACAAGGAAACTTCACAACAAGGGAGACTAGGGACTCAAAGCAGTTCAGTAAAAAGATCAAGGAAGGCACTAGACTGGAGAGGGGACTGTGGGCAGATGTTTTGCTTAAATATTTAACTGCCCTACTGTGCAACTCTGAGCCAATATGCGCCTCAACCCACCACGCAGATTCCATTGCAAGGCATCCAAGACGGCGGGTCCCCATGAGGCCGACACTGCAGAATCTCCCAGACATTATCAAGGCTCTAGGAAGACAACTGGGGTTCATGAAGAGCCTTGAATCGCTCCTACCCAGGACAGCTCTACAAGAAAATACATGTCTGTGTGAAAGAGTTGTAAATACACACTGCACAGTCTCCTTGGGAAGGGCTATTTCAGGGTCAAATACAAGGGCGAGAGGGCCCAAGTACAACCCATCGGCTTCGGGAAATCTGCACGTGGTGGCAGCGAAGGGCACGGCACTGGCACTACCGGCACATGGGAATCACTCACAGACATTTGCCGAACGAACAAGCTAACTGGAATGCAGCCAGGCCAATGGTCTGAAAGCCATTCCTCCCTGGGCAGTGGCCACCAGAGTCAGAAAGGCCAATGGCAGGAAGGGGAAGGTGCAGTTTAGGAAGAAGGTCTATAACCCTGACTGTCATGACATGAGGTAGGAGAATATTCTGCAACAACACCTGTGCCGACCACCCAAAACAGGTGTCGATCTTATTAATGGTGCCTTAAAGGGAATATAGAGCTTGGTCCCTACTCTGCTAGCAAATTTACAAAAACTCATTTGTACGTTGGCTGTGTGGACCATGGGTTATATTTTACTTTTCTACAGAGGAAATAAAATACTTTAAGTATGAAGAATAGCGACTCCCCACCAAAAATTTTCATCCACAGAACAGCTAACTGATGCTGGGCCCTGGGGCGGTGTGGGTAAGAGAACAGAAGGGCAGTGTGTGTACAGGGGGGCTGTGGGGGGACAGAGGGCCGGGGGAGGAGAATGGCCATCCACAGGTACAGATCACTATTTACATCAACATTAACATTAACAGGGAAACACTGAGACGAGAAACTGCCCAATCTCTTCATTTCTTCAAGGGAGGTATATCATAGAGCCCACAGGTTTTTCCACTCGAGAACCCGGTACTTGAGCGGAAGGAGGCCGGCAGGGGCAGCAGACGACGAGGCAGGCTGTGCGGAACAAGCCGGAAAGACAGAGGGAAAGCAGGACACCGCACTGAAGAGAAGAGCCTAATGCACCTGACAAAACCTCAAAGTGGCTTTTTTACCTTATCCACCTGGGAAGGGACCAGAGGAGGAACCACTTGTAATTCGAAGGGAGAAAGGAGAGGGATCTGCCCAAACTGACAAAACTCAGAGCCCACTTCTGAAAGGGAAATTTTCCATTCCAAGCAGAGCCCAGGAATTAGAAACTGCCACACAACTGGAAGATGAAGAAAGGTTATTTGTGCCTCAGTCCAAGGAAAAGCTAAGAAATTATAAAGTTCTGGAAGTCCCCTCAAGACAAATGCCCACGTGGAAACTGTCCTGAGGCAACGCTGGAGGCCTCAGGCATGGCCAAGGTTTGTCCTCAGAGCACCCAAGGGGAGCAAACCTCCCAGAACGGTCTAACACCTGGGCAGCCCACAGACCCCACAGCAGACAGGCCAACCAGCAAGCCGGTCACCGATGCATTATGTCCGACCCTGGGATCTGACACAGCCCGGTCTCAGGGCCGATCTCAGGAGCCACGGGGGCACTCAACTGGGAAAAAAGGGATGAACCTGCCTTTGGCCTATATGAGTAAAGACAGAGTCTCCAAAGAAGATCTGGGATACACCAAACAGGCAAGAGATATGCAGAACCAGGGCTCTGTTCTCTTGACCCATCTTCAGACTATGGACCATGTCTGCAGACAAGGAAAACTTCCAGTGTGGACAGGCACGGAAAATGCTGCCATTTTTCCCAGTTCTTTGTCTGGCTCTTCAGCATCTAAACAAAATGCAAACTGAGTGTTAACCACAAATGAAACACTCTCCTTACTGGCTCACAGAAGGAGATGCTAGGTCACTGCTTCCCAATCGCCACCACTAGCCCAGCTCCCAGCAGTGCCTGGACCTGACGGCGGGCCGTGCTGCTCTCCACCACGTTGAGCGCACACTGGGGAGCCATGGCCAATCAACAAGAGGTCCAGTACCGTCTACCCTGGGAATGTAAATGGCTCTGAGGCAAGAGCTTAAAGCCAAAAGGTCTAGGAACAGCTGAAAGCCAAGAGAAGAGTCAGAAAACGTTTTAGTTCCACAGACGAAAAGATGGGAAAGAAAACGGACCTCAAGAGATTCATTTCTGTCTGGATCTAAAGCCAAAAGCATGATTTGGATTTTGAGGAGGGCAGATGTATCAAAGAGTGGCTTGCTTCTGACATGCCGTGGGAGGGTACGGCCTGCCAGGGAGGTCGGCACAGACTGGCCAGAGCACTGACTGACTGGGGCTCATTCCGCAGTACCTACGGGAACCGACTCACGGCTGCCCCACGCTGGACTCCGAATTTTCCACACAAACCTGCACCCATGCCAGCTGCTGGGCTTTTCACCTCCTGTCTCTGACCCCTGCGAAGTCGTGTATCACACTACAGGGTGTGTGATTACCGTGGAGGACGCAGTCCGTGAAGAGCAGAGATGACTAGCGTGAAGAGGGGAAGGGAGGAGACGCTCCATTCCCAGAGCCACGGGCCCAAGAGAAAACCGCGTCGGCCGCGGCACCCAGGGGAGGCCTGGTGCTCATTACCAGCAGAACGCTGTGCTACCATGGGTGCTATCCCCTCCTCTTCGAGGGCAAGGACTAAAGTGTCTTCTGAAAGTATAACCTGGCTCATGTTCCGAGGGAGACGCCCACACAAGCTGGAATTAATTCACTGGGAAGAAAAACCAAACAGATAAATCCTATTTTGTGCATCTTCTGCCTAACAAGGTAAACAGCATACGAATGAAGCTTCCTCAAAGTTTTGCGGTATTTGGGCCAGAAAGCCAGGCTGGAAACAAGCGTTCTTCCCTTCCCAGTACACAGTGGAAACACCCATGACCTACATGAGAATACACACCTGGCAGGAAGGCAACGGACTCCCACAGACGGTCTTCTGGGGAGGGCATGGAATGTATCTGAAGGCCTCTAGCTCAAATCAGTCATTGTTTAATTAGGGTAGTTAATACATCTTACTGTAGCAGATTCAATGTTCCTAGAGAGACAGTGCTTCCGAGTGACCAGTGTTACACCTGCGAGGACCCCACATGACTGTAATGATACAGCAACAGTACTGTTTCTTGCCCCACCGACCTACCAACCAACACCATCACACGGAGTCAAGAACATCCTCTAAGCCACCTGGCTTCCGTGAGGCTGGTCAGAGCAAGCCCAGTGCCAATGAGAGACACCGAGGAGGAGGCAGGAGGCAGGGGAAAGGACAGAGGGAGGGTGTTCTAAACACACAAGACTCGAGCTATGTGACGGTAATCCAAGCCGCAGGGAGTGCTGGAGTTGCACTACACGCCGGGTCGGGTCTCACAGCACAGCAGATGGAAGTCTTTAGACGATTCCTTCCTACACCTCTTGTGCTAATTCCCTGCCCAGGATTAACACACACAGCAGGTTCATCTTATAATCACAGGGCACACGCCACCACAGACAGACAGACACACACACAACCACATCCTTAACCCAGGGAATTCTGCAGTCCCCCAGGAGGATTTACAGCACAGTACTTCTCCCACCGCTTTCTGGACTGTTCCCCCGGTAGGCTAACCATTTAATAAAAATCCACACTCGCAGTGGGGACTGAAGGACACCTTCAAATCCACTCTCAAAACAGATAATAAAACACACTAGCTGCTCCACGTTCATTCCACTGCCTTGAAATCTTGGAACCACAGACGTGGAATCCCACAGAGAGGGCAAGACTTCACTGTGAAGTCTCCAAAGGAGCCTCTGCCCTCCGAGGGGCCCCCCGGGGAGGAGCGCCGGCTCACTGGTCCTCTGACGCCACAGCGGGGCGGGCTGTGCTAGGTGGCGAGGTGGGCGGGAGACGAGATAGAAACAAACTCCCGGAGGATGTTCTTGGCCATTTCGACGTTGTTGTGGGCAATGACCAGGGCTTTCTGGATGTCCTGGTAGGAGTACCCCTGGCTCAGGAGGCTCTCGATCTCACTGGAGAGCTGTGGCGAGGCGGCCGCGGCAGCGCCGCCCTGCTGACAGCCGCCTGCTTTCCGTTCCGAGTTGATTCGCCGAGGGAACGGTTTGGGAGGCCTTTCAGGAACTTGGGAACCCTCAGTGAAGTCTAGAAGAAATCAAACAGAAAAGAGTTGCAGATCTGGGGGCAACCCTCCTTCAATGGCAGCAAGAACAACAGTGTGCCAGGATCAGGCTGACCTACTGTAACAGGGCCCCTGGGCTCTCAAAGGGCCGGGGTCTACAGGTTCCAGGGTTTCAGCAGCTAGCCGCCTCCTCCTGGCAGGAGCAGCCTTCTAAATAGACCACGCACCTGCTGCACAGACAGGAACACTGCTGTCCCCAGCACAGACACCTGCGTCCGTGTCCTGCTTTACACACGTGGCAACAAGAGTTCACGCACAGGAGGGCCTGGATGATTTAAAACGTTTCAGACGGGGCCAGAGAAGACACTAAACTTCTCCTTTGACAGAGGAGGAAAACAGAAGTAAGCCTGAGTGGCCGTGGAGCCGCAGGAAGCGAGGCTGGGTGGGTGGGGCCACCGCCTGTCTGGGCAACTGGATGCTGTCCAGCTTTCACCAGCTGTCCTGCGCGCCAGCCTCAGTTTCCAAAGGGACGGCCACGCCAGCTGCCGCGCTCCCAGGCAGCCACAGGTGCAAGGGCAGCCCTGGACGGTCAAGGCCACTCGGTGTGCCTTCCAGAGCCAGCACGCCGTCCTGGCAATGCAACAGGGCCCAGAAGTCAGGAATGCGTGCTCTGAACCAGCAGGCGTCGTTACCAGCGTCCTACCACACACTCAGAAGCACCGGAAGTCCCACCTACCACCAGCCAGGAGGAGCCAGGGTTTAAGCAACAACCTCTTTTCTAGGTCTGGCAGAACCCCAAAGAATGAGACTCCGGGTTAACTTCCTAACTGGGACCTAGGGCCAGCTTTTCCTCCCATGTAGACTGAAAGAGACTACCATCTGGTGACAAAGGCGCCGTCGCCAGGCCATCACCTCTGCTGCAGCGTAAACCAGGAGCCATTCAGCAACTCAGCACAAACCCAAGCCGGCCTGGAGACTCACGTGTGGTGGCATCGCCTTCCAGAGACAACCAGCCGAACGAGGAGCTGGCGTTGGAGATGTCGGAGAGGGTCCGGCGGGCCAGCACGGCCGGCACCGGCGGCTTAGGGACGTCATAGCCATCCTCCTCATTTTCTGATCCCTCGGGGCCGGCGCCCGCGTGGCCCGCGGCCAGAGTCCCTTCACCTAGAGGAAAGCGTGTGCCGTTACCATCTGCTCACGCACCCCACCCGCTGACACGGCTCCAGAGAAACCCACTCGTTCCCGCACGTATAGCACCAAAGTTACCGACTGCCTACCCCGGGCCAAGCACCATGCCAGGCCCTGTGGGTGGAGATAGAAGAACAGAGAAAAACGCGGTCTGCACCAGTGCCGCAGCTCTGCTTTCCGGAACGGGGCGAAAGCTACCCCCGCCAACGGTGACGGCCGCTGACGCCAAAGGCTCAGCGCCATTTTACGGCACCCAGTCAACATCTCTATCGGCATTTCACCTCGGAGGATCAGCCAAAGGGCCTGTGTGTGCTGCCTTCTTGAACTTTCCACTTGGGAAGCTAGTTGATATGGGAATGGAGTATTCACCACCCACACACAAAAGAATTTCATCAATGCTAAAAAGCCAAGGAAATGAAAGGGAGCTGCGAGCACTGCGGGCCCAGGCTCTATAACCCAAGTGTCTCTAGGCCCTGGAAGGATGAAAAGGCACAAAGGGAACTTGCTGTGGGAACGGGAAATAAGAGAGAGGAGAGGGTTTTGCCGCCCATGGATCAAAGATATTTTGCAAAGGAAATTATTTAAAAGAAGTTTCTGCTAAGATCAAGCTGTGTCATTCCTATGACACAGCAATGGTTTTCCAAGTGGCAGCACGGCTACTCACCGAAGGGGATGCTCTCCGTGGCAGATGGTGTCGCCTGGGACTGAATATTGTACATCGCTTCGTATGTACAGCTATCGATCGGCTGGTCACAATCACACACTCTGAAGCAGAAGGAAAGGAGTGTATGATCTTCAGAAACAGAACTCTGTTACCTGCAAACTGATTAAGACTCATCTATTCTTCACTATTCCAGACCCAGAGATTATCAAGAGGACACAATGCTCCTTTGCCAGATCACTAACAAATGTCCAAAGGTTGACTCTTCTAATAGATGTGTGTTTTCGAAATGACTGTGACAGTGAGGAAGCGTAAATGGAATTGCTTATAGCTGCAAGAGGCCAAACACCAGAGGCTCTATACATCTTTCTGCTTTAATTCTGGCTGGATGATATTGCAGACGCAGCAGCCAGGCAGGTACGTGGCGTCACCCCAATTCCCAGATGGGACTGTCCTGGACCTACCGTGAACTCTGCGTTGTCTCCAAAGGCCGTTTCCCATCTGGCTTCGGCAGCCCTAGAGGTCTGGAGGAGGGGGTCATATACTCTGTGTCCTCCTCACTTTCACACTGCTCCCCAGGGGGCAGCTTTGGCACAGGAAGAGGCCTGGAAGAGGAAGAATAAAAGAGAAAGAAAATGAAAACAACTAAGCTGCAAAACGTGCAAGTATGAAATGAGTGCCTTCAACCCAGGCCATGACTCAAATCTGACAGAGCAGAACGGATGCCACCTAGGGAACGGTTACTTCTCCCGGCCAAGAAAGGGCAACTGATAGGTTTCTGCTCTCAGCTGACCACAGATGCAGATACATTGTCTGAGATGGGTTACACAGGCGCAGTACTTGATACTCGTTAGTCTCAGTCCCCAAATAAGTCGGGAGTCCCCGTCCCAGGGCTGGAGCACCAGGTTCTCTCTTGCCGGCCTAAAGGAGCAACGGTGGCTCTCGGACAATATGCTGCCAAATCCCTGTTCTAGAATCTACCTACAGGGCGCCTGGGTGGCTCAGTTGGTTAAGCGACTGCCTTCGGCTCGGGTCATGATCCTGGAGTCCCGGGATCGAGTCCCACATCGGGCTCCCTGCTCAGCAGGAAGTCTGCTTCTCCCTCTGACCCTCTTCCCTCTCGTGCTCTCTCTCATTCTCTCTCTCTGGAATAAATAAATAAAATCTTTAAAAAAAAAAATAGAATCTACCTACAGTTTCAAAGAGTAGACAGCTTGTCAAAAGCTTTCTTATATGTTATCTCATAGTATAAACACCTTTTCTCCTCGTTTGATGTAAGAAACATCTGAAATAAAGAGATCAGGTCCTTGGTAGCTTAGCATCAAATCTGAGACCAGGCCTCCCATCTTGACTCCTGTCTCAGGGATCTTGCAGTTACACCCAAAGCTCTCACCCAGAAACTCTGGAACCAAAACTTCTCCTGCTACCCACCCCCTGAAACCAAAGACAAAAATAACAAGAAAACAAAACAAATGCACAAATTCAGAAACACAAACATGCGCACAGGCACACACACATTCACCCAATGCTCCTGGGAATGTGAGCTAAAGCCAGTATCTCCTCCCTCCCTGGTTATACTGTTTCTGTACGTCCTGAACACTGTAACTAGAAGGAACACCTACTGGATTTGCCTGTGTTTACTCAATGTTTATTTTTCCCAGTTACAAAAGCCAACAGCTGAATGTAAGACCCTTAAATGCTACAGAAACCTAACACAGACAGTCCCTATAATCTAACTTGAGATTTTTTTTCATGTCTACATGTTACTTTATTTGTGCACTGCGAGCTGTAGTTTTGAGGTGGAAGTGTATTAGTATCTACAATTTGCTCTGAAATGTATCCAAAAAGATAGACCGATGGATGGATAGAAGTACAGATAGAAGGGCGCCTGGCTGGCTCAGTCATGGAGCATGCAACTCTTGATCTCAGGGTTGTAGGTTCAAGCCCCATATTGGGTGTAGAGGTTTTTTTTTTTTTTTTTTTTAAAGATTTTGTTTATTTATTTGACAGAGAGACGCAGAGAGAGAGGGAACACAAGCAGGGGGAGAGGGAGGTCTGGAGGAGGGGGTCATATACTCTGTGTCCTCCTCACAGGCTCCCCGCCGGGCAGGGAGCCCAATGTGGGGCTCGATCCCCGGACCCCGGGATCATGACCTGAGCCAAAGGTAGACGCTTGACGACGACTGAGCCACCCAGGTGCCCCCAGTGTAGAAATTATTAAAAAAAAAAAAAAAAAAGTATAGCTAGAAATGTATGATAAAACAAGGATAAGAAATGCTAATAGAAGCCAGGTGGGGAGTATATGGATGTTCACTGTAAAAAATCTGTCACCCTGACTCTATGCTTGAAACTTTTCATAATAAATTATTCGTGGGAAATACCTATAAAGATTAAGAAAAAATACCAAGTATTGGCGAAAACATAGGGAAATGGGTATTTTCTTATACAGTTTTAGAAATAAGAAATTAGTACAACTTTTCCAGAGTGTAATTCACCAAAAATATTTAACCAAACATGCATACCCTTGCACTCAGAAATTCCATTTCTAAGAATTTTCCCTAAGGAAACAATCAAGAAAATTCACTATATAGTATTATTTATGATACTGAAAAAATAGGTCACAACCTGTCAAGTAATAATGTACTGAATAAAGGAACTTAAAAAAAAAATTTGAGAGAGGGAACATGTGCACATGGGGGCGGGGGGCGGAGTCAAGGGAAAGAGGGAGAAAGAGAAGAATCCTCAGGCAGACTCGGTGCTGAGCCTGGAGACTGATGTGGGGCTGGATCTCATGACCTGAGCCGGAACCAAGAGTCGGACACCTGACCAAGTGCACCACCCAGGCGCCCCAAGAGTTGGAAATTTCAATATCTCACCCACAATAATGGACAGAACCAGACAACATGATAAACCAATCAGACCTAATAAACATAAACAGAACACTCCACTCAACAGCATACATACACATTCTTCTCAAGTGCACGGGTAGATAGATAGACAGGATGGGAGGCCACAAATTAAGTCTTAACAGATTTTAAAAGATATACAAGGTATCTTCTCTGACCACAATGGCATGAAATTAGAAACCAATAACAAAAGTAAAACTGAAAATTCCACAAAATTGTGAAAATTTTAAACAACCAATGGATCAAAGTAGAAACTACAAAGGAAATTAGAAAACACTTAGAGGTGAATGAAACAAAAAACATGACGTACCAAAACTTAAAGCAGCGCTAAGAGCATTTAAAGCTTTGATGGTTACAGTAAAAATCAAAAAAGATCTCCTAACTTTACAACTTAAGGAACTAGAAAAAGAACCAACTAAACCCAAGGCTAGTGGAAGGAAGGAAGCAATGAAGACTAGGGCAGAAGTAAATAAAATACAGAGAAAAAACCCCCACAACGGCAACAGAGAAAATCAATGAAACCAAAAGTTAGTTCTTCAGAAAGATCAACAAAACTGACAAACTTTATCTAGATGGATTAAGAAAAAAGAGAGAAGACTCCAATTACTAAAACTCAGAAATTAAAGTGGAGACATTACTACCAATTCTACGGAAATAAAAAGGCTTTTAAGAGAGTACTATGAACAGTTACATGTCAAAACACTGTATAATTTAGATGGACAAATTCCTAGAAACACAATACTTACCGAGACTAAATCACAAAAAATTGAATAACTGAAAAGACTTACAGGAGATGGATTCAGTAATCAAAAATCTGCCAACAATGAAAAGCCCTGTACTTGACAGCTTCACTGGTGAATGCTACCATTTAATAAAAAATGAATACCAGCTCTTTTTTTGGAAAGATTTTAATTATTTACTTGAGGAAGAGAGAGAAAGCGCACACGCACGAGTGGAGGGAGGTGGGAGGAGGGAAAGGGAGAAGGAGGCTCCTCGCTGAACAGGGGGATCATGACCTGACCTGAAGGCAGACACTTAACTCACTGAACCACCCAGGTGCCCCACGAATACCAATTCTTTTCAAATTGCTCCAAACACCTGAAGAGGGAACACTTCCTAACTCATTCTTTGAGGATGGCACAATCATGACACAAAGCCAGACAAGGACACTGCAAGAAAACAACAGACCAATATCCCTTATGAATACTGATACAAAAGTCCACAACAAAATCCCAGCAAAAAGAATTCAGCAGCATAAAAGAAGGATTATACATCATTATATATCAGTGGGATTTATACCTGGAATGCAAGGACGGCTCAACATATGACAACTGATTAATATAAATATAACCACATCAAAAGGGAAAAAAACCCATACAATCATCTCAAGCATTTGACAAAATTTAACACCCTTTTATGACAAAAACACTCAACTAAAATAGGAATAAAAGTACCTAAACATAACAAAAGCCATATATGAAATGCCCACAACAAGCATCATATTCAACGGTGAAAGAATGAAAGCTTTTCCTGAAGGATCAGGAACAAGGCAAGGATGTCCACTTTTAAAGCCACTCCTACTCAAGACAGTACTGGAATTTTTCTTTTTTAAGATTTTATGTATTTATTTGTCAGAGAGAGAGAGCACAAGCAAGGGGAGCGGCAGGCAGAGGGAGAAACAGGCTCCCCGCTGAGCAAGGAGCCTGACACAGGACTAGATCCCAGAACCCTGGGATCATGATCTGAGCTAAAGGCAGATGCTTAACTGACTGAGCCACCCAGGTGTCCCAGTACTGGAATTTCTAACCAGCTCAATTAGGCAAGAAAAAGAAATAAAAGGCATCCATATCAGAAAAGAAGAAAAATTATCTCCCTGTTTGCAGATGGTATGATCTCAAATGTAAAAAAGCCTAAAGATGCCACAAAAAGGGCATGGGAAACAGTATGATGGTGTCTCAAAAAATTAAAAATAGAATTACCATATGATCCAGGAATACTACTTCTGTGTATATGTTCAAAAGAATTGCAAGTAGGGCCTCGAAGACGATCTGTTCACCCCTGTTCACAGCAGCATCGCTGCAATCACTAAAATGTGGAAGTAATCCAAGTGTCCGTCCACCGATGAGCAGATAAGCAAAACATGGTACAACAGTCACCCTTTATCTGTAATTTTATTTTCTGTGGTTTTACTTACCCATAGTCAATTGCGGTCTGGAAGCAAGATGATTCTCCTTCTGATGTATTATCAGAAGGTCAATAGTAGCCTAACACTATGTCCCAACACCTACGTCACTCCGCTCACTCCACCTTATCACATAGGCTTATCTCACATGAGCACAAGAAGGGTGAGTACAGTGTTGTATTCTGAGAAAGACCACATTCATACAACTTTTATTATAGTAAATTGTTATAACTGCTCTATTTTATTAGTTATTGCTGTTAATTTTTTTTTTTTTAAAGATTTTATTTATTTATTTGACAGAGAGAGAGAGAGGGATCCCAAGTAGGCAGAGCAGCAGGCAGAAGGATAGGGAGATGGGGCGCCAGGGTGGCTCAGTTGGTTAAGCGACTGCCTTCGGCTCAGGTCATGATCCTGGAGTCCCTGGATCGAGTCCCGTATCGGGCTCCCTGCTCAGCAGGGAGTCTGCTTCGCCCTCTGACCCTCCCCCCTCTCATGTGCTCTCTCTCTCTCAAATAAATAAATAAAATCTTTAAAAAAAAAAAAAAAAAAGAAGGATAGGGAGAAGCAGGCTTCCCGCCGAGCGGAGAGCCCGATGCGGGGCTCGATCCCAGAACCCCGGGATCATGACCTGAGCTGAAGGTAGCCGCCCAACCAACTGAGCCACCCAGGTGCCCCTATAAGAATGATTAAGAATTTTTTTTTTTTTTTTTTTTTTTTTTACAAAAGTCAACAAAACTAAAACTGCTTCTTTGGGAAGATTAATAAAATCATGAAGCCCAGCAAGGCTGATCTATGTACATACACACAGAGAAAATAAAAAGAATGAGACCAAAACAGAAACTCTAATTTTGAACTATACAAACACAGATCAGTTTTTACTTTCTTCTTCGTACTACTCTGGGTTTTCTACGTTCTGTGAGTAAGCTGCTAATGGGCAGGAGCACGTCTGCTCCACAAGACACAGCCTTAGGACTTACCTGGCAGCCAGAGAATAAATGGCATTGGCAGATGCGGAAGGTTTGATCTTGGGGTGCTCACACTCTGAACCTGCTAATGGGCTGTTATTCACATTCTGGAAAGAAAATTGGTGAGAAAGAACCTTCTTAACACAACCCAGTGACTCCCCTTACTTCTCCAACCTAGTCAAAATAACAAGAACAGTAACACAGATCCCGACCCCACTCTCAATGCCGCGCTTAGGGGTTATTATGTCTGACCAAAAGCAGAGCTGCTTTCAGGCTCTGAAGAAAGTTTAAATGCCAGGGTGAGGAGGACAGAGATCTAAAAAGAGCCAAGGAAATGGGGGTTTTTGTTTTGATTCTAGAAGATTTAAGGAAATTGGCTGTCTCTGCAAATACCCTTTCTAGCTCTAAAAATCTATATACCTCTTTCTACGGTGAGGTCACCAAAAAGCCTGACCTAATTCATTCTCACGAATTAGACGGCCTATCACTCGATGCCACTTATAAGTGACCATCCCCCTTCTCTTGCCACCAAGAAGTACCCAGTTCACGTAAGGGCCCCACCATATTCCTCAACTTCATGGCTCACAGGTTATTCTCCCCCGCCTTTTTTTTAATTTGTCTGAAGGGGACTGGCAGCATTACTATGTAGTTACACTGCTAATTAACCTTCAACTATTTGTGTAGCACCTAAGAAATAACACTGCTCACATACACAAGAGAAAGCAGGTCAATGAAACGTGCACTAGAGCATTCTCCCTCTTGCTTACTTAGCGCTATGCTCTCCCCAACTCACCTGCCTTCCCTTCATCCTGGAAGGGTCTCCCTCAGAATCAGCATGGCTCGCTCTCACCAACGCTCCATATCTTTGCTCAGAATTGTACCCCATCCCTCCACGTACCCCCCCACCCCAACTTTCCCGATACCCCTTTTTTCCGCTATTTTTCTCCATAGCTCTCATCAGCATCCAAAGCCCTTTGTTTTATTAACTTACCATGTTTGTCTTTACTCCACTAGAATGTAAACTTTGTGAAGGTAGGATTTTTTGTGGAGCACATACACAAATGAACCAACAAAAGGACAAATAAACCCCCCCACCCCCAGGTCTGGACCCCTTCTCTCATGCTTATATACAATGAACCGCTAACCTTTTTTCAAGCTATTCTCTTAGCAATACATTTATTAGTAGATAATCTACTACTAGATTTATCTCTGTAAATCATTTTGCTCATGTCACGCCACGAATTTAATGCCTTCAAATGCTTACTTCCTACCAAATAAATTCAAATTCCTTTGGCCTTGATGGGATTTTCAAAATCCTCTAATCTAGTATTAATGCCCCTTTCTAGACCTTTTCCCTCCTCTGACATACAAAACTTCTGCTCCACTCAAATTAAACTACTTCTAGTTCCACAATATATATGAATCCAGCCATATATACATATATACACAGGTGCACACACATACCTATTGTGGTATTTACAAACATGCTTTATCTGCTCTGGTAATATACTTCTTGAGGGTATATATACGTCTGAGGGTAGGGATGTTTCACCGTCTCCGAATCCTGCACAAAACCTATCACAAAACTCTGACCCATTAAATGTCATGCAAAAATATCTGTTAAAAGGCTAAAAAATGTCAAAGACAGGACTCACCATGGAGGTATCCACACTGAATGTGCTTCCAAGCCTGGACACATCTGTTCTGGGTTCCATTTGTGAGGGCAATGAAAATGGAAGTGAGTGCCTATTGGTTAATTCTCTACCTGTCCAGGGGTCACTAGAGTTTGGGGCAACCACCGGTACTTTGGGGATTGGCCGAGGCAGCCATGATTCCCCAAGGCGGCTAGAGGGAACAGGGGGCAGTTTGTCCCTGGATGGACAGTCGCCCGGTGTACAAGGCAAGGGACGTCTCTGTGGCCGGGTTTCTGCTCCAACAGAATATGGCCGGTCTGGAGGGGGTGGTGGTGGAAGATCTCGAAGTGTGGGAGGTATTGGTAATGGTTTGTCCTTATGAAGGGAGCCAGAAGCTACCTGTGGAAGCACGAGGAAAGCAAATCAATCAAAACTCACTGATCTAAAACACCCCCACTATAATCCACAACAAAGAATCAGAAAACTGTAGAAATGGATAACGTCTTACCTTAGAAGCAGTTCCAAGACCAGAAGCACTTGAAGGAAGAGATACCCGCTGTTGCAGAAGGTCAAGTCGTGGCGGCACTGGGGGAAGGGAAGCTTGTGGGGCCATGGAAAACGGAGAAGGAGGCCGTTCCACCTGACACAAATAAAATTTCCTAATAGGTTATTCTTGTATGAGGGAGTGGCATCTTTCAACTCCTCCTAAAGCTGTAGGCAGCAAGTACTATACGAAAACTGACTGTAACTACCAATGGGTCAGGCTTCCCGAATTATTTGTGTCTCCATAAGAGGGCGCTCTCAATCACAGAACTACTACTACTACTAGCAGATGCAAGCTACAGGCAAGTATCTAGAAATGGCTGTCCTACAAAAAGCTTCCTAGCTTACAACTGAAAACAAATTATTACAATTTTCCACCTCCTCATCTTCAGAGAAGGAAAAAAAATCTTTTCAAAATTAAAAATAGGAACCCATATAAAAAAGGAGCAGACATTAACCTCTCAGCAAATCACGTGGGAAAATGACATTTAAGGCACAGAACAATGAAAGAGATCAAAGATGAGAAATTCTCCACAGCTTATTATGACAGAAAAAAGAAAAAAATAAAAATGTTAAGAGGAAAAGAATCAACAGTATCACTAAAAAGCATCTCGAGTCCTTCCGAAGAAATGTTCTTTCAATTCAGTAATTTAAAGGGATTAATATTTTCCATCAATTTGTGTTCTTAAAAAGAGGTGCCAAATTAGACAAAGCAATACATGTATAACCGCTCCCATTTCCAAGCCTGTAGCAGGGTGATGAATGGCTGATAAGCTTGTCCAGGCAAGCGATCAAGAGATATGCATAATTCATATAAAATGCTACTTGGCATTTGCATTTTCTCCCAGGGAGCAATACAGATGGAATATAGGCAAATACGTATTATGAGCACTTATGTAAGACGACAGAAAGATAACCATTCACATACTCAGTCCGATCATTAATGCTGGGTGGTAAATGAAGGCAAAGAAAGCCCTCATCAAAGCTATCTGCTTTTACTCATGCTTAAGAAAAAGAGCCCCATGTCCCTGGTGCGTGAGTGATGCAGCATGAGCAGCTAGCACACCTCAAGGGTTAAGTGTGTGAGAAGCTAATGGGCTGTCACTTCATCAATTTCTAGCCAGTCACTATATCCTGCTGATTCTTTCATGAAAGGGTCTCGTATCTTTATCGGCCTTTCCATTCTGCTTACCAATCTCAGATCTGATTTATTAAAACCACCTTCTTGCAATTCTCGGTTTCTTATCTCGCCAAATCCGTTTGCTCACCATTACCAGCGTAGCCATCCTTAGAATACGAAATAGCTCAAAAACCATCCACCAGTAACTCCCACTTTCCTACCAATCTCGACTCTAGAATTCCCACCTCCTTGCCTTTGTTCAGGTTGTTTCCCAATTGGAAAAGCCCTCTCTGCCTTTTTTTTCTTTTTAAGATTTTATTTATTATTTATCAGAGACAGAACACAAGCAGGGGGAGCAGTAGGCAGAGGGAGAAGCAGGCTCCCCACCGAGCAGGGAGCCTGATGTGGGACTCGATCCCAGGACCCTGGGATCATGACCTGAGCTGAAGGCAGCCGCTTAACTGACTGAGCCACCCAGGTGTCCCCTAAGATTTTATTTTTTAAGTGATCTCTATACCCAACCCAACATGGGGCTCAAACTCACAACCCCGAGGTAAGAGTTGCACATTCTACCAACTGAGCCAGCCAGGTGCCCCTCTCTGCCTATTTCAACCCCTCCCACCATCCATCGTTCATTCCCCTTCCTGAAGTGCAGAGGGTTGAGCTAATCACACTCTTCGTGGCTCAACATCATAACCGATCCTTGCGCTGTTCTTTTACTACAACATATTAATAAAGTTCCAGAAAAGGAGAAAAAACACAAGTGGACAGGAAATGATCAGAGAAATAACACAGGAATGGTTCTATGACCTAAGGGACATAAATACCCATATAGAAAGGGTTCACTGCATAGCCAGCCCAATGAAGGAAAAAAAAACCCATGACAAACAAACAAACAAACCAAAAAACGCCCTTATGTTTTCAAGGAATCAAGGATAAGGAGAATAACCTAAAAGCTTCTTGGGATAGAGGGAAAGGGGGCACCAAATAGCAAAAATACACTAGAACCTAGAAGCAAAATGAAGCCATAACAATTTATAGAGTTTTTTTCAACCTAGCACTGTGTAACTAGTCAGTCTGAAGGCTGAACAAAGACATTTAAGATATCAAACGTCTCAAAAATTTTACCTCTCACCTTTTTGAAGACACACTTCACCCAAACAAGGAAGTAAAGCAAGAAAGAGGAAAACGTGGGAGCCATGTTTCCCATGTCACCATCATATGTTATATAGTATCTACTGTATTTAGAGAATTTACTTCATAGAAAATTATACTGAGAGGATGTCAGACAGCTTGGTAAGACCTGGTAGTTAGAGGTACAAACGGAAAACTAAGGAAATAAAAATAAAGCAATTTGGGGTGCCTGGGAGGTTTAGTCGGTTAAGCATCCAATTGGTGATTTTGACTCAGGTCATGATCTCACAGGGTCGTGAGATCGAGCCCCGCGTCTGGCTCCCCTCTCAGTGGAGTCTGCTGGAGATTCTCTCCCTCTCCCTCTGTTCCTCCTCCTGCTCGTGTGCTCATGTGCTCTCTCAAATGTGTGTGTATGTGTGTATATACATACACACATACACACACACACATATATAGCAGTTATCCCAGGAAAAGCAGAAGGTCGTGTTAGAAAAGAACAGCAATTACATCATAGTGTATTGCTTGGAACAGCAAGGAGCAAAATCATTTACACACCGAATAGTGATTTGGCCAAAAAACACTCAAATAACCGTAGTGGGGAGATATGGTGTGGGAAGGAGGGAGATAATCAATCCTTTTCTACAACACCTGAAGTGAACAGATGACTGATGCTGAAGAGGCGAGAGCAGTTTATGTATATGGTGTGAAAGGTGTTAAGAACCCACAAATGTGAGTGGGGCCCATGGAAGAGGTGAAGGTGGCAGAGGCAGGGAGCCAAGGTTTCTGCCAGCCTTCTAGCAAGTCTTTTAAACTTACTAAAAAATCCATATGCGTTTGTCATTTGGATTTTGTAATAAGTGGATTGACTGCATTAAAAACAAATCGAAATAAGACAGCAACCAAAAAAACCCCAATGACAGCCACCCAGGATGCGACACATCAGGCACTCCCCTAGTCTCATATACCTTCAAGAGTGATTTTAGGACAAAAACTTGGGGATAAATTTTAGTTATCTACTCAAAAAAAGTTAAATATTTTATAAAATATTTTATTCAAAGAATAATAAACACCCACGTAGTACCTACCTTGCAGCTTTGCACAATTCCCATGTGCCCCTCCCCTAATTATATCCCTTCCTCCATCAAAGAGTTTAAATGTACATTCACTTTTATCCAGCAATTCCACTGCTAGGAATTTACAGACTTGAAAAGAATATCAGTCTGTATAAGTCTGGAAATATGAATGTCCATTAAGAAACTAAATTACGGAATAGCCAAGTGACAGCACAATGCACGAAGCTGTTTTTTCTCTATTTGAATTTTTACAGTGTATGTTTATTACTTTTATTTAAATGAAACAGATGAGCTACAATTAAAAAGGGTTCATTTTCTTCTTTTAAGTCCTACAGCACTTAGAGCGTGTACCCAAATATCTAAAACAATGTATGCTGTCTGCCTATGTTAAATAGTTTCGCCTGCATGCATGTTCTCTTCTCAAATACAACTACTAGCTCCTTGCAGGCCTTCGTCTCAGGTTTATTTCATTCAATACTTACAGCACTCAATATAGAGCCTCTTACCCAGCATAACAAACACCTTGCAAAAGTACTATGTTTATTGCAAAACATTCAAATATCCCATAAAGTTCAAGTCCTCTAAATTTATGCCCTCAGAAATTATATCAATTTAGTGGGTAGTCAATTTTTCCCCCTATGCATGTTAAAATAATTTTTTTTAGAGAAATAAGGTGATACTATACATAGTATACAATTATATTTTTTAAACTTAGTATTCATTATACAGTTTTCCACTTAAGTATACGTAAACTGAACTCATTCTGCACAGCATTCCATTATGTGGACTACAGTAGGCAGAATGAGGATTCCCTATCCCCCAGCCCTAAGATGTTTACTCACACCCCAAAACCCAGAAACTGTGAATATGTTATTTTACTTGGTAAAAGGAACTTCGCAAATGCGACTGAGGGTATGGATCTTGAGATGGGGGAATTATCCTGGACTCTCTGGCTAGGCCCAATCTAATGATAGGAGTCCTTAAAAGCAGAGCACCTCAGAGACAGAGGGCTGAAGGAGCAAAGGAATCCAGGAGCCAAAGAGTGTGGCTGACCCCGAGAAGCTGGGGGACCATGAGCTGACAGCCACCAAAGATATGGGGATTCTAATCCTACAACCGGCAAGGAACTAAACTCTGCCAAATCCAAATGAAAAAGAAAAATGGATCTTCCCCTAGGGCCTCTAAGAAGAACTACAGACCTGCTGACACCCTGATTTAGCTGGATGGCACATGTGTTGGACTTCTGACCTTCAAAACTGTAACAGAATAAATTTGTGTTGCTTTATGCTGCTAAATCTGTAGTAATCTGTTATGGCAGCAATAGAATACAAACACATAGACATATCATAAATTCTTACTGCTGGACATGTGAGTTGATTCTAATTTTTCATTATTGCAAATAATGCTATAAGAACTGCATTCACATCTTTGTGTGCTTATCTGAGTATTCCTTTAAGATAAATCCCTAGAACTGGAATTGCTAGTTCAAACTGTGACCATTATACATTTTGATAGGTGTTAAAGTGTCCTTCCGAAAGATGGGCTAATTTGTACCCTCATCAACACTGAATGTGATGCCTATTTCTCCACAATAAGTATTATTCTTCTGGGGCGCCTGGGTGGCTCAGTCGTTTAGCGTCTGTCTTCGGCTCAGGTCATGATCCCAGGGTCCTGGGATCGAGCCCCGCATCGGGCTCCCTGCTTCGTGGGAAGCCTGCTTCTCCCTCTCCCACTCCCCCTGCCTGGGTTCCCTCTCTTGCTGTATCTCTGTCAAATAAATAAAATCTTAAAAAAAAAAAAAAAGGTAGGGTGCCTGGGTGGCTCAGTTGGTTAAGCGACTGCCTTCGGCTCAGGTCATGATCCTGGAGTCCCGGGATCGAGTCCCACATCGGGCTTCCTGCTCAGCAGGGAGTCTGCTTCTCCCTCTGACCCTCTTCCCTCTCGTGCTTTCTATCTCTCATTCTCTCTCTCTCAAATAAATAAATAAATTCTTAAAAAAAAAAAAGTATTATTCATCTATAAAATTGCATGAAGAAAAAGGGTAATTTTAATTTCAAATAAACATATCCAGGAGGAGCGCCTGGGTGGCTCAGTCGGTTAAGCGGCTGCCTTCAGCTCAGGTCACGATCTCAGGCTCCTGGGATGGAGCCCCATGTCGGGCTCCCTGCTCAGCAGGGAGTCTGCTTCTCCCTCTCCCTCTGTACTCTCTCTCCCTCTCTCTTTCAAATAAATAAATAAAATCTTTAAAAAAAAAAAAATCCAGTAAAAATCACTTTTTATTCGGCTTCCCTAATATTCCAGGAGTTACCAATAAATTTTCATGAACAGACAGAAATCTAAGAACATAAAACTGCTTTAGAGGTCAAATTAATCTCTTTTTAAAGATTTCATGTATTTATTTATTTGAGAGAGAACATGAGAGCAGGGGGGAAGGGTAGAGGGAGAGGGGAGGGAGAAGCAGGCTCCCCACCGAGCAGGGAGCCCGACATAGGACTCGATCTCAGGACCCTGGGATCATGACCTGAGCCGAAGGCAGATGCTTAACCAACTGAGCCACCCAGGCAACTCTCAAATTAATCTCTTAAAATGGACCCAAGGAACCTGTCATAAGGGGTTCAAAAACTTCAAACTTGAAAAAACTTAAATCTGTCCACTTCAAAAAACCAAAAATGTACAATTCATTCCAGACTTCCTCAACAGCCCATTATTGATAAAGCATAGATAGATTTATTAATTCCTGCTTTGAAGTCGTTTCAATTCCCAGTCACACATTCAAAGCAATTACTGTGTGCTCAATTTTGTATAGCGGCTCTGGCCTTCTAGGAATTGACAACATACCAGGAAATACATGTAATAAAATATTCCAAGGTGGTTCATTCTATGGCAGACACATTCAGGGTCTCAGAGACACCCAGGCAGACCTAGAAATGATGTGTGTGTCAACACATGTGAACTGGGGGTGGGGGAAGCAGGAACAAACAGTCTGGAAAGGTTTCCTAGGAAATGAAAACTCAACTAAATTATAAAGAAACTACCAAGACAGAGTGGCTCAGTCGGTTAAGCATCTGACTCTTAGTTTCGGCTCAGGTCATGATCTCAGGGTCCTGGGATTGAGCCCCGTGTTGGTGGGGGGGGTCCCCACTCAGCAGGGAGTCTGCTTGTCCCTCCCCCCCGCTCCTCCCCCTGCTCACATGCTCCCTCTCTAAAAGAAATTTTTAAAAATCTTAAAAAAAAAGAAAAGAAAAGAAACTACCAAAACAAACGCTTGGAGAGATTTCTAGTGGTTTGGCCTTGCTGGACCACAAAACATAGAGCAAAAAGGATTTTTTTTTTTTTTTAAAGATTTTATTTATTTATTCATGAGAGAGAGAAGCAGAGGGAGAAGCAGGCTCCCCGCCGAGCAGGGAGCCCAATGCGGGACTCGATCCCAGGACCCTGGGATCATGACCCGAGCCGAAGGCAGAGGCTTAACCATCTGAGCCACCCAGGTGCCCCGAGCAAAAAGGATTTTGAGGGCAAAGTGCCTGGAAAGGAGAATGGCTTAACCCATTAAGTAATGAGAAGTCATCAGAGTACGAGGCAAAGGAACGGGATGGTCAGGTTTGCGCTGTAGATCACTGGTGCTGGTAGTAGGCAGAGAGATGGCGACGACAGCCTGAGATAAGGCAAGTGGAACTGAGCACACAGAGGAGGAGACACACTGGATACAATCATTTAAGAGATCAAATCAATTCCTTTTTTTTTCTTTTAATGTATTTTAGGGGGTGGGGGTGGCCGAGTGAGAGGGAAAGCAAGAATACCAAACAGATTCCCCACTGAGCATGGAGCCCAGGACCCCGAGATCATGACCTCAGCCCAAATCAACAGGACTCTCAACCGACTGAGCCACCCAGGCGCCCCCACCAAATCCATTCTTTCAATATCTACTATGTGCCAGGCAGTGAGGTGCTGCCCATGAATTTATATTAACATTCTGAACTAGAGAATCTAAAGCACATTAGAACCTAGAACCTTTGTTTGCCCTGTATTGGCTAACATCTTCCAAGACTCCCTTACTTCTAATTAGCGAACAGATCCCTGTTTTACCCTACCCACTGATGTTATGGAATCTGATCCCATCCATTCTTAGTCTGTAGGTCTCCTCTCTTTACTAGGTCCTTTCCAGTTTAGCTTCTACCTGGTACCTGCTACCACCCTCCAGTCACTTCAGTCGCTATGTCTGGTTACTAACAGTGCCTCTCCCCTCTGCAATCCAACTTTCCAGCGCCAGGACACCTTAGGAAAGAAGACTAGAGCACCAGACTCTACTCACAGCAGCACAATAGGACCCCACTGTCTTATCGCCTCTCGTTCTCTCCAACAAGCTGGGAAGAGCGCAGTTCTAGGACACAGAGCATGGGCTCTGAAGTCGAATGTCTGGCTGCAGCTATGTAATTTTCAGCTAATTCCTTCACCTTGCCGTGCCCTGATTTCTTCATCTGCTAAATGAGAGTAAGAGTACCTATCTTGGGTTGAGTATATACAAGGACAGGATTACAGGAGTTAAAATAAGGGAAGTGCTGGGACACCTGGGTGGCTCGGTCGGTTGGGCGTCTGCCTTCGGCTCCGGTCATGATTCCAGGGTCCTGGGATCGAGTCCCGCACTGGGATCCCGGCTCAGCGGGAGTCTGCTTCTCCCTCTCCCTCTGCCCGCCGCTCCCCCCTGCTGGTGTTCTCTATCTCTCTGTGTGTCAAATAAATAAATAAAATCTTAGGAAAAAAAAAAAAAAGGAAGCGCTTAGCATGGCATGTCCCACATAGTAAATGCTCAGTAAATGTCAGCCTGTGGTTTGGATCTCATCAAGTGCTCTATTCCTTTAGAACACAACTCACAATGGAGTTTGCCAGTCTCTGAACCTGCAGTCTTACCTTGGCACCAGCCAGTTCCTTCATCATAAACAGAGAATCATCAGCTCGTTCATCGTCATCGTCCTCATAATTTGGGGAGGGAGCTCCCTCGGCCCCTTGCCTCAGGAGGCTGCCACTTCCTCGAGGGTCAAACGGATCTACCACAATGGGCTCAGTACCTTTAATTTCACATCGGCAGAAAGGACAGCCCTGGCCTTCTGATTCCTGCAGAGCAAATGGGAGACGGTCACAGGCGCATCTGAAAGTACTGACAACATGTGTCCACTAGGAAATACATTTCCTAAAGATGAAAAAAGAAACCAGAAGCTTAAAACCTCCCCCACAAACCAGGCCATCCTTTCTCTCCATACAGGATACAAAACCCCCAATTCTTCTGAGAATTACATAGTAGAGATGGTCTGGATCCATACCTGCCAGGATGTGAGACAGGACGTGCACATGAGGTGTCCACAGGGCTCAATTTTCACATCCTTGTCGTTTTCAGCGCATATTTTACACAGTTGGAAGGTGGAGCCCATCTCACAGTATAATTCATATTGTTCCTTTGATTAAAAAAAAATTGAAGCGATTACTCAGCCAATTGCAGGTATTTGTGGAAAGAATGAATGATTTCAACCTTAAACACTAACACCGGGAAAACTACAGACCGTTACTCTCTATACATATTTTGCTTCTATGGAAGTGCCACACAGTGGTCACTCTTCTCTCACTGACACAGAAAACACACAGTCTTGGTCCTATGTTAAGTTCTTTAGAGACACCACACACACATGAACTCCCTAAGCTAGTTGGGGGTTTAAAACATAAGTGTTCCAATCACTTCATACCACTGTCAGTTGTGTCAAGAACGTACAAAAGCTTGCCTCTAGAGACACAGTGAGGATGTAAAACAAGATTCACCTGGGTCACTTTGATGTGGTCTTGGGGAGTTGGTTCACATAGGCCTGTCAGGTCGGGATTCTGATTCCGTCCATCTGGAAACAGATAGCTGTAAAAAGAGTAACCAGCCTTAGGGTTTTACGAAAGCCAATTTATAACTGCTTGCTAATACAGACAAATGATATCTAGAATTCTCTCGTCTAAAAGAGCAACTTTGGGGGCGCCTAGGTGGCTCCATCCATTAAATGTCCAACTCTTGATTTCATCTCACGTCATAATCTCAGGGTCGTGAGACTGAGTGAGCCCTGCGCTGTCAGCTTTGCACTCAGCTTGAGATTCTCTTTCTCCCTCTGCCCCTCCCACTGCTCGTGCATGCTCTCTCAAATAAATAAATAGGCAACTCTGCATAAGTACAAAGAGAAGTTTTTGTACTTATCAAAGATAAATACTCCAAAAAATAAATAACACAGAACAGTTCCAAGAAGATATTCTCCAAACACTGATACTCCTTCTCTAGACCACAATGCCACAGGCTTTATCTTTAAACTGAGTGGCTGACAAACTTTTTCTGTAAAGGGCCAAAGAGTAAATATTTTAGACTTTGCAAGCCATAGAAGTCTTTGTCATATATTCTTCTTTGGTTGTTATTTTTTAAATAACACTTTAAAAAGGAAAACCTATCTTAGTTCCAGGCCATACCACGACAGCTAGCTTGTGGGCCATTGTTTGCCAACCTCTATTTTAATCTATGGATGGACACAAAATACAAATTATTAATTTTTTATTTTATTTTATTTTTTATTTTAAGTAGCCTCCACTCCCAGCATGGAGCCTGACACGGGGCTTGATCTCACGACCCTGAGATCAAGACCTGAGCTTAGATCAAGAGTTGGAAACTTAACCACTAAGCTACCCAGGTGTCTCCAAATTCTTAATTTAAGCACCATTTGTTTTTGACCAAAGGCCTAAAATACCCTTATTTACAGGGTATTTAACATTGAGAGACACCAATGTAAAAGAAATGTAACAGGAAGCAAAGTAAGCCCCTGAGATCAACTACCAGGAAGCCTGGCGTGTTGGCCTGCTCTGATATTTGGGGACGCACCCCCTTCAGCTCCAAGGCTGCTGCCAAACATGATGCATGATGGAAAATGGACTTTCCTCGTTGCTTCAAAACGCAAGGAGCTTTCTGACAGCTGGTCAACTGCTAGTATTTTTAGTGCCTACCAAGTGATAATCAATCTGAGTTCCCAAAGGAATAGCATTCTGGAATAAAGAGGAACTTAAGTCATAAATATTAGCATAGATTACAAAAGCCCAAACCCTGAAGAAATACTGCCAAACCAAAATGCTTCGGGCAGATGAAGGCCACTGAGCCTGCTGTTATTAAAAATATCTACCCACTCTAATGTGAGCTAGTTAAATAACTGGTAACACTCTCTGCTAATTGGCATCTTTTCGAATAAAGACTTGAAGATAAGTTAACATCTGGAAAAGGAGAAAGATACAGTTTGCTCATGGTAATAACTAAAGCACTAGAGAAAAATCATTTCACTCAAAGAATCGTTTTTTAAATAACAAAAGTCCTATGGAAGCTGAAGGTCAAAATAATACAACCTGTTAATATGTTTCTTGAATCTTCAACCATGAAGACACCTGGAATCAAGTCACTGATGATCAAATTTTACACCCCTAAGTTCCTAGACTCTGGCAAGTGGCAAACAGCAGATACTCACAAGCCTTCCCTGAAGCCGTCAATCAGGGCTTGGAAGAGAGGTTTATTGTGAGGGATTGTCTGGAGAATGTTCCCATCAGCAGTGACATACCCAATAGCCCACTGACCCAGACGAGTGCAGCTCAGCCGGAAAATGTAACTGGGAACAGAGATGAATAGAACCTTTTACATGTTTATATTAGGGTGGAAGGCAAGACAGAGACAAAAATCAAACGGACCATCAATAATAAATTCTACAGTGACTCCAGACCAAAAGCAAAAAATACGTAAGCTCAATTCTTAAGTGGCTTGAAAGCATTTATCAGATTATAAGATCTGAATTGAATAAGTCAATTCCTCTGGTAAACAGACATCAATCCTAGTACAGCAACTGGGGAACTAATCCACGATCACGTTTCCTCCATCCTGGCAGAGGTCACAAGAGAATAAAATTTAGGAGAATAAACCTCTTTGCTTCACGGCACTGACCTGCCTGGTTTGTGAATGAACTTCTGGAGCCGAGCTTTCACTTCGTCATAGGTCAGGAAAGCCATGTAACCAGGATGAGTTACGGCAAGACTGTTCCAGTTCCTGAGCAAAGAGGACCAGGGCTAAGGGAACAAGAGCTCAATCAGACCACTTGGCTCAAGACAGCTGACCATCCTTCAGAGCAATGAAGAACAGAAGGAAAACAACCTCAATTCTCCATTCACTGTCACAAATTTTCAATTATACTGTTACTTCAAGGAAAATATGTTTGAGAGGTAAGAACTCAGAAAAGCTAAGAAGAAATAAATATATGGTTATACAAAGAAATTTCATTATAGAATGAAATTCAAGACATTTTACAGCAGTTCTAACCAACAGCAGGGGCCTACATGTACAACTGAGAAGTTGCAAATAAAGGCTTATGCAAGTTGGCATACACACATTATCTTTACAGAAAGAAATAAATGAGTTCTTTCTGAAGCATCAATGCAAGTCAATATAACAGTCAAAAATTTCAATACAATAGGAGAAAACGTTGGAAACATACATAAATGTCCAACAAAAGGAAACTGATTAAATAGATCACATTATACCCATTTTCTGGATGTTCTACAATCATTAAAATGATGCAAAAGAATATTTACTAACAAAGAGAGATTATAAATGTGAGGGGAAGAAAGCAGATTATATAGTTATTTTTAACAATAAATAGATAAAAATAGTGAGGGTTTTTTTGCTTATAATTTTTACACTGACTAAAAATACTTTTATAAACTCCCAGATGTTATTTTTTTAAAGAGCTCTCTCTTCAGAAAAGTAGCAACTAGTTTAGCCAACATTTTAGTATCCTACCTGAAAGAGTCGTGTGAAAATGTCAAATTCAAAAACTGAAATATAATCATTGCAGGTCAGATCAATAGTGGATTTCAGAGCCATGGCCTCGAGCCCAGAACTGATGGGATGCACTTCATGAAGGGCCTGTCGGAAACTCTTCCAAGGGACTATCGTCCTAGATGGGGGAGCAGGGTGGAAGGGAAGGCGCTGAGTGAGGTAACAGACAATTCTGGCCATTGCTATAATAAACCAAGAAGAAAAGCCATATTAAGGTCTCAATATCAATTTCAACTCTCTTAAAGAAGCGAAGTTATATTTTGGATTGAGAACAGAAAGGGAAGAAATGATGTATTTCTTAATTTTCTAATACGGAAATTAGTAACAGAGAAATCTTTCCCCACTATTCTTTGGCAATATGTCACAAACTAATCCCCTTTCTCATCTTTCTTCACACATTTGTTCTCTTTAGAGAAACACGGAAAGAGAGAGATTACTCTTTATACAAATGTCATCTGTAGCCAGGCCTTCACTAACTGAAAAGCTTACATTTAAACCAACTTTTTTTTTTTTAAATTTTATTTATTTATTTGAGAGAGAGAATGAGAGAGAGAAAGAGAGAGCATGGGGGGGAGGGTCAGAGGGAGGAGCAGGCTTCCCGCAGAGCAGGGAGCCCGATGCGGGACTCGATCCCAGGACCCTGGGATCATGACCTGAGCCGAAGGCAGACGCTTAACGACTGAGCCACCCAGGCGCCCTTAAACCAACTTTTTAAAAGCACATAAAACGTTATGAGTTCTTTGAGGAACTCACAATCTCAAGGCCTAGATACGAGGAAATAGGCTTAAGGCACAGGAGGAATATGGTTCTGAAAGGGATGAGGAATAAATTATTAAGGTAACAGTGATTAAACCCCAGATAAGGCTAGCACAAGATACTACGGGATTTGTATTTCTCAAGATCTTTACGTAAACACAAGCTCATTGACTTTGAAAAGTTTCTGTACTCACTGCCTCAAAATTAAGAGATAAAGTGGCATTTTGAACTCCTTTCTAATGGAGTTATTAAGTTAAAAGGAACAATCACTAATTATTCTATATTTTACATTTAAACATATTTTTATAAAAAAGGCATTTAAAGGGAAATTTACGTTAGGATCTGTATATTCAACTAAAAAGTCGTATTGCTACTTTTTTCAGTTCCTTGATCCGAAATTTCAGAAGATAAAGAACATTTATATTAATACTTAAAAGCATAAGTTTAATTCATAAACCTGTCTATATAATTTAAAACTTCTATACATCAAAAGACAATATAACAAAGTGGAAAAACTAGCCATAGACTAGGAGAAGATATTTGTAATGTAAGTAACTAATAATCAGTACCTTTCAACAGGAAAAAGACAAGTTACTCAGTAGGAAAATGGACAAGTTAGGAACAGGAACGGGCAAGTCAGAATAAGAATCCTAACGGGTCATAATTGTGAAAAGATGCCCAATCTCCTTTGTCATCAGGAATATAAAGCAAAATATGATACCCAATTCATACTACCAGTGTTAGCCAGATTGTGGAGCTACTGGAATTTGTGTATACTACTTACAGGGACAGAAACTGGTATAACCACTTTGGAAAGCAATTAGGCAATATTTGGCAAAGCAGAGGACATGAAACCCCGATTCAGCTATTTCACTCCCAGGCATGTAACCGTGAAGAAGCTCTTGCACATGAAGACAAATATAATTTTGTTCACTGCAGCACAGTTTTGTGAGAGCAAATAATGTGAAACATAAACGTCTATTAACAGCAGAATGGATGGGGAGAGAAACGAATATTCAATTAAAAAGCATGGGTTTCAACTGAATCTGCAAAGCTTTCTTTAAAAAAAGAAACAAAAAATCCCCAAAATATGGGGAGGTAGGTACAATAGTGCCCCCTTATCTGCAAGGGATACTTTGCAAAATCCTCAGTGGATGGCTGAAAAGGCAGATAGTACCAAACCCTAAATACACTGTAGTTTTTCCTATACACACACACCTACGATAAAGTTTAATTTATAAATTAGGCCCAGTAAGAGATTAACAATAATAAAATAGAACAATTATAACCAATACACTGTAATGAAAGCTACATGAATGGGGGCTCTCTCTCTCTCTCACAGTATCTCACGGTGCTGTACACACCCTTCTTGTGATGATGAGATAAGATGCCTTTGTGAGGAGATGAAGTGAGGGGAAAGACGCAGGCATTGCAACATAGTGTGAGGCTACTATTGACCTTCAGATAATACATCAGGAAGACCATCTGCTTCTGGACCACAGCTGACCTCAGGTAACTGAAACCATGGAAAGTAAAACTGCAGATAAGGGGGGCCTACTGTACACACATATTATTTTTCTCTATGCTTTCCCATGATATGATTATTTCATTAATTAAAAAAATAAACAGGGGCACCCGGCAGGTTCATTTGGTAGACCATGCGACTCTGAATCTTGGGGTTGTGATTTCGAGCCTCACATTGGCGTGAGCGTTTACTTAAAAAAAAAAAAAAAAAAAAGTTAAAAATTAGATAAAAGATTAAAAAAAATTAAGCAAAAGGCCACAACATAAGCTTTAGTTCTTTACAGTTCAAATTCACTATTTTGAGGGGTACCTCGGTAGCTCAGTGGGTTAAGCGTCTGAATCTTGGTCTCAGCTCAGGTCCTGATCTCAGGGTTGTGAGTTCGAGACCCGCAATGGGATCCATGCTGGGAGCCTACTTAAAAAACAAACACACACACACACACACAAAAATTCATTATTTTGAGACTTACTTTTCCCCAAAAGCTTTCCTCCAAAATTCTGCGGCATCTGCTTTAGTAATCCGAAATGTGTCTCCTTGAAAGAGTCCACTTGGAAAGATTCCTTTTAGTTCTGCCAGCATGTGGCTGAAGATCAGGGACAGTTTGGTTAGGTTTCGCCTACAAATGATCAGAGTGCAATAATTAAACACATAAACTTAACTTTTATTTTAAATGCACTGAATCCACCATATCAGGTGTGTAATTAATATAAACATGAACATATATTTACAAAGAACCTCTTCATATATACTTTCTGGCAATTATTATTCAGAGATATATAAAACTAGGAAAGAAGAGAGGAAGGAATGTGCTGTTGACACTATTAAATACTCTGATATTATCTTTGTTCAAAGAAGGGCTTCAGAAACTGTTTTTGTTCTAACATCGTATGAAAGATGCAGATATATAACACAGGAAAGACTGTTGCACTCACTAGGCCCACCCCTATTTCCCCCATTCAAAAAGATGTGGATGGTAAATAGAAAATTTTTAACAGTAATATATTTTAAGGCTTTTAATACCTCTGAGTATTAACATGAACAAATCTTTTTGAGGATAACAGATAAGACAACTCAACAAATAAAGGTACAAACTTGTACGCTGATAGAATCATTCACTCACAAAAGAAAGGAAATACTAAAAAAGCAAAATATATTATTTCTGCTTTGCATAAGCTATTCTAGATTTTTTAAAAAGATTTCATTTATTTATTTGAGAGAGAAAAATCACAAGTTGGGGGAGGGGCAGAAGGAGAGGGAGAAGGAGACTCCTTGCTGAGCAGGGAGCCCAATGCGGGGCTCAGTCCCAGGACCCTGGGATCATGACCTGAGCCAAAGGCAGACACAACTGGCTGAGCCACCAGGCGCCCCACTATTCTGGATTTTAAAGCTAATCCTATCACTCATCCAAATTAAAAAATAAATTAACAAATTAATAAATTACAATTTTCAATTTGAATATCCAGACCTAACAAGTATTTTCACTTAAATCAGACCTTAAAGAAGTTTTACCAAAACAACTCCTCTTCCTATACCAAAACGGCAATGCTAGTATCCAAGCCATGTGACAATTCCTACCTAACTGTATATGCTATTGCTGTGCTTAACCAATCAGTGAGCTTTATTCTAATAACCTCATAAAGATGCCACAGAGAATGTAGAGTTATCGAATCACTGTCGTACACTTGAAATTAATGTAACGTGTGTCCACTATAATTCAGTTAAAAAAAAAAGATGCCACATAGTACCAATTTAACACACCAGATGATGTCTCTACTTTTAAGTATGTCCTTTAACCAGATTATCTTTCTTATTTTTAATGTGCTGCCACACAGAGCAAAATACAGACAGATGTTTTACCTACTGTTATACACCAGACCGGGTACCGACTGTACTTATTTTCCCCTTGTCTCAATCATTAGTGTTTATATATTCAAAAGTCTATTCTTCTCTTAAGTGGATTATAAAATTTCAGGTCAATTCATGATCAAATTTGAGTACCTAAACATTCCCTTTCATAGAGAGATTTTTCTCTTTTATTTCCTGCACCAAAGACTCCAAGGCTTTCTAGCCCTGACTCTTGGACAAAATGCTACTGAAATCTTTCCACTCAGCTTTCAACAGATCAGCTTCAGTTCTTTGAGATCTGTCTTCTTGCACTTTAGGAAGTTACTCTTTCTAGTTTTTGATTTGTTTTCTGAAAGCACTTAAAAAAGTGATAATATATTCTTTGAAGACAGTCTAAAATAATTCATATGCTAAGTTGATCAAGTGTGAGATAGGAAGACAAGCATTTATTCAATCCCTAACCTCCCTTAACCCTTAACCATTGTCCTCCTTGCACTTTGAGATCCTTCAGTTATTGCTTGTTAGAACTTTTACTGTTTTATCAAAAAGGAAACAAGATCAAGAATATATCACAGAACGGGGCACCTGGCTGGCTCAGTAGGTAGACCGCACGACTCAATCTCAGGGTCATGGTTTCGAGCCCCACAATGGGGGTAGAGATTACTTAAATATTTTTTAAAAAGGTAAGAACAGGGGTGCCTGGGTGCCTCAGTTGGTTAAGTGGCTGCCTTCAGCTCAGGTCATGATCCTGGAGTCCCAGGATCGAGTCCCGCATCGGGGTCCCTGCTCAGCAGGAGTCTGCTTCTCCCTCTGACCCTCCCTGCTCTCATGTGCTCTCTCTCTCATTCTCTCTCAAATAAATAAAATCTTAAAAAAAAAAAAAAGAAAGAAAGAACAGTACAGAACAACGTATGATATGACCAAAAAGATATGTATCACACTCAAGGTTACCACAGAGCTCTTTCTGGACTCTTAGATTATCCTGAAAATACCTTACTTTGGTTTCTGTAATGTCCTCTCTTGGTTCTCCTCTGGCTTTTCCTCTTATTCTTTATTTCCCAAGAATATACTCTCTGCTACTTTCCTTTTTCTATGTACTCTCTTGACTCTTCCTTCACATTCTCAAACTTCCTTCACATTCTCAGAAACTACTCCGCAAGTGATTCCCAAATCTTAAGCCTTGGTAGCTCTCCAACTGCCAACCACATTCCTCCACTCAAATGCTAGCACCTCAGAGCAACATGTCCAAAATTAAATTAATCTTCCTTCTCAAATCTGTTCTTACTTCATGTTCTCTTTAATGACAACACCATTTTACTTCCCACAAATTCAAAACCTTAGAGTCCTCTTGGTTTCTTTCATTTCCCTTATTCTCCATATCAGATTTACTTGTCCATTTGCTGACCACTGTTGTCTTCCTATCTTTAAATTATATTATTATTCTAATATAAGTTCCTTGCTACCTTCCCCCACCTACTCTACAATTCAAACTTCAGTCTTCCATACAGATGGCCAACAGACACACAAAAAGATGCTCAACATCACACTCATCATGAGATATCACCTCACACCTGTCAAAATAGTTAAAATCAACAACACAAGAAACAACAGGTGTTGGTGAGGATGTTGACTGGAACTGAACTGGAGCAGTCACTGTGGAAAACAGTATGGAGGTTCCTCACAAAGTTAAAAAAAGAACCGACCTACAATCCAGTAATCGCACTATTGGTTATTAACCCCAAAAATATAAAAACACTAATTCAAAGGAATACATGCACCCCTATGTTTACAGCAGCATTATTTACACTAGCCAAACTATGGAAGCAGCCCAACTGTCCAGATGAATGGATAAAGAAGATGTGATATATATATGCACAATGGAATATTATTGTCATAAAAAGTGAAATTTTGCCATTTGCAACAACATGGATGGAACTAGAGCGGATAACGCTAAGTGAAATATGTCAGTCAGAGAAAGACAAATACCATATGATTTCACTCACATGTGGAATTTAAGAAACAAAACAAATGAGCAAAGGAAAAAAAAGAGACACACAAAACAAGAAACAGACCTTAACTCCAGAGAACAAACTGATGGCTCCAGAGGGGTGGTGGGTGGGGGGAGGGGTGGACTAGGTGAAGGGGATAGAGAGTCCCCTCATCAGGATGAGCACGGAGTCATGCAGAGAACTGCTGAGTCACTACACTGTACACCTGGACCCAACAGAACTCTTTGCTAACATACCAGAATGAAAATAAAACATTTTATAATAATAAAAACAAACCTGAGTCTTCAGTCTCCTCCTATGCAGGTCCAAACATGTCACATAACTACCCCCTTTTCAAAATTATTTATTTATTTATTTTAGAGCGAGCACAAGACAGAGAAAGCGAGAGAGAGCACGAGCGAGCACATGAGTGGGGTGAGGGGTAGGGGGAGAAGCAGACTCCTGGATGAGCAGGGAGCCCAATGCGGGGCTTGATCCCGGGACTCCAGGATCATGACCTGAGCCAAAGGCAGATACTTAACCGACTGAGCCACCCAGGCGCCCCTAAGTGCCCTTTAAGGAGGGGAAAAAAACAATTTCCACAGTGCCAGCAGGACAAAACCCAAACTCAGCTCTGATCTGAAGACTTTCCACTGCCCTGGATCTAACCTACCTTTCTAACTAACTTCTTACTTCGTCAGGAGTATATTCTAACCAAACTGAATACGTCATCTTTCCTTATACATACCACCCTCACTAGCTGTCCAACCTCTGAGCCTCTGCTTATCTGACGCAGCTTAAATGTCATTTCCTAAGAAGCCAGCTAGAAGTAATAAGCCAGTAAAATACCCACAGCATATTTGCTGAAGTTCTCAGGCCACCTGAACCCATCTTGTACTTTAGCTATCTGCGTACACAAGGGCTAAATCCATTTCTAATGTGTATTTATATCCCATAGGGAATCTGGCACAATTTCTAACCTTCGTGATACCTTCCGAAAACATTGAGTGCCTACTATGTGCTCGCTAGGCGCTAGGGATGGATACAACAGGGAACAAAACAAAATTCCTGGTATTATGTACGGCATTTACATTCCCATAGGAGAGCATCAGGCGGTGAGAGAAAAGTGCTCTGAAGAAAAGCAAAGCAGCATATGAGAAGAGAGTTGTATAGGGTTGCTGTTTTAGAGAGGGTGGTCTTAGGAACCTCTCTCTGATTTTTTTTTTTAATTAAAGATTTTATTTATTTCATAGAGACAGAGCGAGAGAGGGAACACAAGCAGGGGGAATGGGAGAGGGAGAAGCAGGCTTCCCGCTGAGCAGGGAGCCTGATGCAGGGCTCGATCCCAGGACCCTGGGACCATGACCTGAGCCAAAGGCAGACATTTAAGGACTGAGCCACCCAGGACCACCCCCCCGCCGAGAGTAAATTCTTAAACCAAGTCTGAAGTGGGGACAAGAAGTGAGTCTGGGATGATCAAGCCATGCTGGCATCTTTTCAAATAATTTTCCAGTCAGATCTACCAAGTGTCCAGTATTATGCTGGATCAGAGATAAAATATACACACCAAAATAGTAATGGACAGAAAGCTATTTTAATATGTGAAGTAAGCCACTAGAAAAGGGAAAGTTATTGACCTCAAGGATGTAATGGTACCAGGTACGAAAGAGCAGTTCAAAGTGCTGACTGAAATAGATACTGAAAATCAATTTGAGATACTTTCCTACTTAAGGATGCATCCCCCCAAAAAGGCAGCTTACATTTCTTAAAACCACCAGAGATG